AATATTATTACAACAATATTATGTATTATAAAAACCTTATTATAAAACGCAATTTCCTGTAAACAATTTGGATCCGCTTTTAAGAAAATGGCGCTTACGCACTGCTGTAAATTCGAAATTTAAAGCTCTTTTTCACAAACGATTTTTGAATTTTCGAAAAACTTCATTAGAAGTTATTTGAAGCACAGTAACTTACAAATACAGCAATGTTTACAAATTGCTGGAAATGTGCATATTAACGGCGTGAGAGATATTTAAAAAAAATTGCAATAGAGTAATTTTTGAAAAAAAGAAATGAACTTCATATTAAAGAGTGCAATTAGCTCTGTCCGATCGAGAACTTTGAAGACAAAATTTCGAGCCATTTAGGAGAAAATAGCGTTTGAGCGTTTCTGAAAATGCGGAATTTTGATCTTGTTTTCACAGAAAATGGTTGAGTTTTCGAGAAACTTTATATGACATTATTGAAAACACTTATAAATACATTAATGTGAACTAATTATCGCTAATGTAAATATTAACGACGTGAAAGACAAGTCAAAAAATTATATTTATGTAATTTTTGAAAAAACAAAATAGAGCAATGTGGCGTTTACGTCATCTTATGGAATATAGGCAGAACTATCCCTACCAAAAGTTTAATGAAAAATTTGGAACCTTTTTTGAGAAAATCTTGCTTTTGTAATTTTTTTTAAATTGCATATATTGATCGTAATATTGCGCGAAAACTACTAAAATTTTCGAAAAAATGTACATGACCTTAATGAAAAAACTATCTATGGAGAACAAATTTTATTTGAAGGAAAAATCTCTATCCTCAATATTGTAGGAAGACGCTGAAAAAAATCAGTCCTGTGAAAGTTTCGACACTTGGTGCTGTTTTAAGAACATTTTGAAAAAGTCCGGGGGGTTTATGTAAAGTACCCCCAAATTTTAAAGAATTATTTTCAAAATCCCGAAGTTTTGACTCGAGCCAGCTGGTCACGGGTTTCTTCAATTTGGAAAAAGTCCTATGAATAGTTTAGCCGCTAGTGGTATTTACAGTCGAACGTTTTGAAAATAGCTCTTTCGACATCAGGGGACCCCAAAACGTGTATTACCCTTGAAATCTCGAAATCAATTTTCCGCAGCATTACATAACTTTCCCTGTACTACGTATATTACTCCGTATATACGTACGTATGTGGGAAAGTAAAATTACTTGGAAAAGATACGTTATGAAGGTGTTCTCATGCTGGTGGGTAGATTAGGGATCTAACACCCTCCCCCCAGCCAGCATTTTTATATGTAACTAGTGGTGCTTAAGCAGCACAAACTTTCTCGCAATATTGCTGTGGTTATGTAATATAATGTAACAATTTCTGTCTTTCACTTCAGCTACTATTTGAAAATTTCTTAAATAAATGAAACGCGATAAATGAGTAACTGTGCCCAAAATTTTTTAGGCTGAATTCTCAGATATAAAAACACTTAACATTACCTAATAAAAACCCTCCGCCAACTTGTGGAACAAGAGTGACACAAAGAGAAAAAAAAGGTATTATCCATATTAGAAATAAATCAAACGACCCACAAATATAAAGTTTCAATAACTCAAATTTCAAATATTCACAATTATAGCCGATGGCCCATTTACAGTTTCAATTTGATTGTACTTTAAAAATCCATTCTCGATCAGTAGCGATTCACTTCAGTTTGATTTTTGGCGTTAAGAGTATTCCAAACAACGATTCGATCCCGGACCGAATGATCAAGTTATTTAACTTGTTGCGCCGGTGACGAGGTCTGAGGATGCCATGTCCCAGAACGAGTTTTATGGGTGCCTGAGAATCCGTTGATGACTTGAAGCAGTTCAATACGGGCGCCTTCATCAGCAATAATCTTCTTGCACCCAAAACTTGGACTCCAGATTGCAACAACTCTAATCAATTAACATTGAATAGCAAAATCAAAGCAACAATCAGCTTCACTGGCCACTAACTTTAGCTGTTATTTTAACAAGAACGGAAACAACAGGTCGTTTATCCAAAAATGCCTAACACGGCGTTACAAAAGAATTTGTTGGAAACGCGTAAGTAGCAATCAAATAAATTCAGAATTGTCTTATAAATGAAATTGTCTTCAAATAACATGAAACTTTCATTGTCAAAACCTAGCCACTGAACTCCACTGAACCAACTTCTGGGTTCACGAAATTTCTCAGTTGCGATAACAACACCAAAATTACAGTAAATAATTTCTTGTTTACAAAATGCAAGTTTTTAAATATCAGTATTCAATTTAAGTTCAATATCAGTATTCAATTCAGTTTTCAACTGTTACTTTAGAACAATTACATCTCTTTCAGTACGTTGCCACAATTGAATTTTGCCCAGTGGAAGTCACTACAAGAACGGGTAATCTATGCGCTCATATGGCTGGCAAAAGTGGCCAGCCATTTAATTACTAATGTTCTACAATTTGGTATATTAAGATAAGTAATATTAATTTAAACAATGAAGGGATTATTAGATCATCCAATTGTCTCCAAATACCTCACAAATTAGGCACAGACATTGCCACCGTCTCAAACAAATTTTCCATTTCGATTTTTTTTCAATTGTAGAAAATACAGCGCGTACGCCTAAAATGGAACCAGCGCCGCTTTATTAACCATTCTCTGATACATACGAGACAAAAATTAAAGAAAAAACTTGGAGCAGTTTCTGAGAAAATAATTGTTTAAAATTTAAAAGTTGCTTATTTTCGATGGAAAATTACGCAAAAAAGATTTACGTTCTCGAAAAAGTAAGAAGCTTGAAGTTAGTTCAAAGAAGTAATTTACTATATAAAGGGACAAAATATATCCACTTTTTCGTTACCAGGACCCGACAATAAGATTATTTCTGTCGGAAATTCACCGTTTTTTCGCGTACCATTACAATTCTTTTTCTATTCTGCGTAAGTAGCAGCGAGAAAGTAAATACGGTATGCATCATACAAAAAGAAAATTCATATTAAAAATGTCAATATTAAATATAATGGATGGTAACTTCTGCCCATTCCCAGTGCATTTGTAAAGAATTTTCACAATTAATATCAACAAAATTATCTTTCCATTTGTTTGACCTGAGTGAACACCTCTGGTACCATTTCTCCGGTAGCTCTATAGTTTCGTGAACGTCTAAGGCCCAGGACAAAATAAATTTAATTTAATTTTGGTAGATAATTGAATAGAGGAATATGAAGGAATGATCAAATAAATGTTTACGGCACCTGTATTCACTTTAACTACATTTACAATAACAGTTTACAGGTAGGCAACACATCTTTCCAGCACCTGATTATTTGAAATAATAGTCTAGCGCCAATATACTAATTTTTAAGTTAAACGAAAATAAATGAAGTGGAACTAAAATCATTTATATAATGTGACTGAGTACTCTTCACGCCGTTTTAGCGCTTATAACTTTATGATTTTACGTTATATTCTTACTACAAACGCACCCATTACTCAGCAACCAGAAAATTTAATTTAACTGATTATACTGAAGTTCGGCGAATCATTAAACGAATTAAGTAGTACACTTGTCTCATTCTCATAAAACTAGTTGTTCTAAAACAGCAGATACTTTCTCGCCCTCAGTAATAGTTACACAACACAATTTCTATCCGAACACTAGAGTTGCCAGGTCTGCTTCCAAAAAATAGTGGACCAGTGGGGGGTGGGGGGTAGTAAAATAAATTACAATTAAATTATACATTTTCTTACAAATTTCCTATTCTATCTTAGACTGTATAACTTTATATTACGTACCATTTCATCATAAAGCTTTTTAATAAAAAAATGTTCATTATTTTATGAATAAAACAGTGAACATAAACTATTATGAATAAAACAGCGAAAAAGCGAACACTCTACTCAAATAGTAGACATCTGCCAACCACAATTAACACATCTCAGTCATACCTTTTTGTAAAACTTATTACAAATCGTAGAACATTGCGAAAATAAATATTTTCAAGAAAATATCAACACAAATTCGACAATTAAAACTGTGTTTCCTACAACTAAATCATGTTCCAAAAATGAGTCGGAATTCATTAAACTACAACTGCCGTCTCGCAGGAGGATGCCATTATCGCATTCCAATCTGATATTTGCTGATGGCTAGCAAATGGAGCAAGGAAAATTAGAATACGCAAATTTACACTAAACTACTCATATTTTTAAAAAAAAGTGTACATACCATTTGTAAAGAACTGAATGTTTAGAATAGATTTCATTTAATAAATGTCTATAACACAGCGCGCGTAGTCATCAAGATAAATCTTACAAATTAGAATGGTCTTTAGCGCGGGAGTAATCATCCATTAATATTTCAATGTCATATCCGTCACGCCTCATCGCAGTCAGTTGTCAAGACCGCCAAGTAGCATCTCCGCGCACCCGCCCCCTGCGTCACTACACAGCGGGCAGAATTGGGAAAGAATTAGGATTGGGGTAGGGTTTAGGACACTTCACAGGGGTTGGACTAGTCCCTATGATGTATACAAACTCGTTTTGTCGTATCAAATTTCACAAGTTTTATCGCAATCGGTTGAACGGTATGGCAGCGCATCAAGTATGAACTAACAAATGTTTATATAAAATTGTATTTTATATATAAAATGTTTTACATAACTTTTTCACCGAAAGAAAACTATATTGCAGGTAAAGAGAACAAGACATACAAAATAATTGCTCCAGTGTTATATGACACATCTTTCAAATATGGATTGTTGTTTAACGGGTTACTTTTGTTTTAATTTCCTATCTTTTCTCCCCTCAACAGAATCGTTTTAGTGCTTCAAAATAGTGTTCACAGCATCAAATCATAATAGGTGTAATCCAACCACATCAAATTAAAATTATCCAAGCTATTAACGCTATACGAGTATCACTGCTAATGAAAACAACAATTTTTCCAAGACAAATATTCCAAAAGATATATAATTTTTACATCTAAAAATTTTGTTTTGTTTCAAGGAAAACTATGAATAGATGCTGCTCATGTATTCCAGTCTTGATAACTGCTACAAAAACAATATTAAGGAGGTATGGAATAAAATCAGAACAAAAATTCTACATGTTTTATTAAGTCTAGCATCTACATGGCATCAGCAGCTAAAATACCAATCATATCAAGAATGTACAACATTCAGATTCAAACAAAAATAAAAATTTACTGTCATAAAGGTGAAGAAAAATTGCATCATACAAAATACAGTATGTTACAAATATTTTAGTGATCTCCTTTCATATAATAAAATTTATTCACTTGTGGAATGGCAATCAAGAATATGAAATATATTGCACTTAATCTGACCACAAGGGAATTATATAAACTATGATTCTAAAATAATAACAATAATACTATTTCTTCTCTTAAAAGTGATATTAAATGTTTGTAAAAATAAAAACAGTATTTTAAATTGGCACATTATTACCCCATTTTCTCATTTACATATCATTTGCGGTTTAAAAAAATATTAGATTCAGAATTCTAAGAAGAAAATACAAGAAAAAGTATAAACATGTGAATCCTTCAGGAAAATGCATATAAAATTGTTGTTAAGCATTTTCCCTAAAGCTTTTTATTGATTCTAACTTCCATAATTTGGCAATGAGTTTGGCAAGATATCACTACTTAAAAAATAAAAAAAAAAGTCAACACAATTCCATTTTCTTGCCTTATGGCGAAATGCTGTTATTTAAGTAATTTTGAAGTGACTAGGCTCATAAAATAAGAACCAATAATATTCAAGAATTTTCCGAATGAACCACAAGTGATATACCAGCAAGGTTCATATCAGATTTTCCTGATTTCATGTGATTTCACATGTGAAATACCATGGATTATCATTCACATTTTACTGATTTCATTGATAACTTACGACATGCACTTGCATGTTCTATATGTTAATATCATATGATAATGATACTGAATTAAAAAACCTTTTTCACATTAAGAAATATTTGATATGAAGTAAATTTTTCATTAGTAAAATAAAGACTACTCATGCTTCAAAAATTCCCAGAAAAATCCACTTATTTGCTTTGCAACTAGTTGATTTAATAGAAATTTCAAAAGCACATGTTGTTCCTTTTGAGAATCTAGCCAAAACATCATCATTCATTATTACCCACAGTGATTTTCAAGCAGACATATTCTAAGCATATTTGACAAATTGTAACTTCATATATTTAAAATGTTTACTAAACATTAGTTTAAAGTGACATTTCTTTCCCACTATCAATTACATAAATACCATCTTTTGTGTAAATGAAAAATATAGTCTGAGGAAAAGTAGTTAGCTTAGGAATATTTCCATATAGAAAATAGATATTTGTACATCATACTAAAAAGGTAGCATGAGAAGCATATGATTGTTGGAATGTGATAGACATACAGTATTCATTAAAATTTCAAAAATTTAGAACTACACCTTCAGTTGCATAAAATAAAGTTTAATTTAAAAAAATTAGTTACCGAGTTTCCTTCAATAAATTAATAGAAAATAATTCACAAAATCTCACACTGGCTCAGGGATAAAACAAAGAATTATTGAAAACAACTAAAAAGATATGTTCTCTGACACTTTTCATATACCCTTTTCACTACATAATATATCTCTACTGCATTAAACATTTGTATGGAACTTTCATCTTCGGAACTGTTACTTTATCTCTTTTTTTTTTTTTTTTTTAATTTTTTTCATTATTTAGTCATTGTGATGTATTGTATTTAAAAAATTCTGTGATACCAACACATTTGTACAAAATAATATTTTAATATGATTGCAAGAAGAAGAAGAAGAAGAAGAAGAAGAAGAAGATGATTATGAAAATTACTATCAGATATACCTGGCTGCTCATCTACCTAGAGCCCAGCTACATGCACACTGATACAGTTATAAAATGACCGTAAAGGATTTTGCTACAATCAATACACATTACAATGAAACTACCTCTTCCAATGCAGAAAACATCAGTAACGTCACACTATTTCCTAGAATTATTTTATTATGCAATTTGTGATGAAACTCCTATTCAAAATTTCCGAAATGAGGTTTCTCAAAAGAGAAAAAAAATTATATTCATGCAAAAATATGTATTTCTTGAATTTTCAGATGTTATTTGATGTGCACTTACACACATAAGAACAAAGACAGCAAAAAATAAGAAGATAAATGAAGGATTCTCAATGTAATAACTTCTCTTCATATGTAACTAAGTATCTAGAAGCTTTGAGGGACATTGACAATGAAACAACTTGGTGAAACACAGGAACCAAAATATAGTACTCGTAACACTAAAATGAAAAAATAAAACAGTATATTTTAGCCACAATAGGAAGTTGATTTTTTTAATTTAATAAAGAAAGTGAAAAAATAATAAATTAAAAAATAATTTTGATGGATTTTGACAATTATCGTTAACATCAATCAAGATTAAATTTTACAATAAACTTTTTAATTTTTTAACATTTTCTGAGATTGTGATAGAAATGCAATTTGAAAGAGAACATGATTTCTCTCCTTGTTTGCAGATTGTGAAGATTGTCAATGAGCAGTTAAAACTTTAAAAACATTCAGAAAAGCATCAGAGATCACTTGCAACTTAAAATTTCATGTGTTGTAAATGTAAATAATTTGTAAATAAACCGCATTTGTCCATTTTTTTTTATAACAAACCTTAACATTATTCACAGCACCCAAAATGGCTTATTACGAACACAAAAGTGCTTTACAAGAAATACATTTAAATGCTAACACAGTGGCTTATTCTATTCTGCATGAGAAATGAACATGTAAACCACGAAATATTCTGATTTGAACTTAAAACACATCACAACAGAACATCTGAGCACTGGTATACGGCTAGAGTGAAGATACTTTACGAAAACATAAATAAAGAACATTAATGGTTTTAGTTCACTCACAATATTGTGCCAGCAACATCCTTCAAAGATCTTAATGTTAAAACTTACACTTCAGCATTCATGTTGACTATTCAAGCCCCAGTATCATACAATTTTAACTTTCCTTTTCTTCTCTTTTCAACAAAATTCTATAAACATCTTAGACCCTTCATGGCATAGCTGTCAGATTATATTAAGCAAAATTGAAAAACAGAAAATGAGAAGTTACTTTAACAGATTTTTAAAAGGAAAGCTATCAAGCCATTAGAACATACTCTTTCTGCCAAAAATTAAACAAGCAAACCCATTTGAGATTCTAGATAGAGATTCCTGATAAAGTGAACCTTTTGCTTTAGGCATGTTAATGCTCAGTACATAACACAAATACTTTGAATTACTCACATCATGCATCAATACATCTTGCTTCATGCACTGGGAACTTTTTGAAATAGATATTTCCTTCCAATTTCTTCAATTTGGTATTGCTGTATTACAGTTGCCATGAAATATCTTTATTTGCTTCTCACAGCGAAAGAAATCATCAAAAATATCCTGATAGCCATGGTTCTTCCACCATGTACATAGCTGCCTATTCCATTCACAGCCTAAAAGATGTATCATTATAGGATGTTCCATTCCAATAAGGGTATAAAAATCTTGATCACCAAGATGTCCCTAGAAAAAGAATAAATCGTGATTACGTTTTAATTAGGATTGTGAAGTCAACAATTAATCTGAAGTCCTTGTGATCTTAATTGAAAATATTCACCCAAACAGATAAATTTAAAGAATGAATTAAATTGGGAAACTGCTCTTTTCACGAAGGGAAAAAACACACACACACAACAACAACACTACTGAAATCTCCACAATTAATTCAAAAGATTGATTAATAATTTTGTTCTAAGTTAGTCCTAAATGCTTTAAGAAACAATTACACAAATAAGCAGATTTTCCACATTCTATCTAGTCATATTCAAATTACAATTACTCATCGAAATATATGATGCTAAACTACAGATGAAATAAATATAAAATATATACAATACCTTAAAATCATACTTTGAGCTGAGATTACGAACAGATTCTGGTTTCAACAAATCACTATATTGTTCTGACTTCCTAATATTATCAAACTGGAACATAATAACGCCACTATTAACACCAGGGAAGCCTCCTTTGTCAACTGGGTCTCCAAAGGTGGTGTTTTTGTACTTTGATCTATAAGTATAAAGTATATGACGATACACAGGTGACAGTTCAGGAGCAAGGCCAAACAAAGTGCTTGAACCGAACCTGCAATGAAAATTAGAATTCAAAATAATTAACTTTGCCCAGTATTATCAAAGGATTCTTCACACACAACCTTCATAATTAAAATTTATGAAGGCCCAAGTCCAATGCAGAAATAGCTCTAAACATACAACAGGAGAAAAGAGATGATAGAAGTAGGAAAGCAAACATTATTTTTGTGAAAGAAAATAATTATACAGCAATTTTGAATCCTTTACACAAAACAGATTTTAAATATATTAATAAGCTCAAAAACTCTGACCTCCACTTTTGGTAATATTCTTTTAAGGAAGAACTATTTCAAGATATTCATTTTATTATCATACAATTAATTTATTAATTTAGTTCAACAAAGAAAAGTATGTTTAGATGAGCAAAAATTTAATGCATATTTCCTACCCAAAAGCAATACAGAGTACACTTCAGCAATTGTTCCAAGCATCAAGAGAAACTCAATTAAGGCTACAAAAATAAATAATAATAACGATTTTCACAGAAATAACATTTATAATTACAAGTTAGTGCTCTCTAAAATAATAGTACATTCTAATTACCTTCAAACAAAATGTTACTAACTACTAAGATGATATTACTACTACTACTGACACAATAAACTACCAAGAAAAACTTACTTCTCAAATTCTTGGAATAACAAGGCAATATCTGTCAAAATTCTTGTATCTGCATCAAACATAATAGCTCTCGTCTGACCCTTAGCAATTCTGTGAAGTCCCAATGATAGGAAAAACAAAGCATCGCTATAGTAAGAGCCAGGTTGTGAACTGAAATGAGGTTGCATGGAAGAAATAATGTCTTGAAGTTTCTCTGCAAGGTTGTTTACTTTATAGTAAAATTCCTATAGAAACAGAAAACAATTTCTGAACAACATGAAACTTACAACTACACTAGGTCTATGTTCCATACATTTGTGAAAGAATACAAAACATTAAAAAACACTTTGTAATTCTTACTTCAAAAGTTTTATTGGTCAACTTCTTGACACTTCTCAATATTTCATGAGCAAGAGTCTTACTCGAGTCATCTACAATCAAATGTAACTTTATGACCACTGTGGACTGACTAATTAGAGACACAGCAAATCTCTCAAACTTGCGTTTCATCGGAGAATTGTTCGCCACTTTTGTGAAGATACACCACACGTTATATTCATCTTGCTTTGTGATAGAATGTGTCGTTTTATGTGACACCCATTGCACAGAGGATTCAATCTGCTTGTTGGCATGCAATTTATTTGGTAACTCATTGATAATTATTTGTTTTTCAGAAACAGAATTTCCTGTTAAAGAAGCAGCTGTCTGCCTTTCGTTAATTTGATACGCATAAAACACGATCAAAATGACAACAATAACAACAATGTTTATCAAAATTTTATGAGTAAACCTCATCACCTATCACCCATCCTTGCTATTTCAAGCATATTTACACTAATTTACACGTAAGTGACAGTTCATCACCACCGAACCATGGAAGAAACTAGTTCCCGCTAGTTCCTCTTTGATTAAACAGCACACAATACCAAGGCGTAAACACATTGGTGAAGCGATAGCAGTGTTGCCAGAAATAGATCGTCTCAAATACTACAGAGACAATACAGGACACTTCCCCGTTCTTCCACGCAACCGATGTTCCCACCAGCGCGCTGGTGCGCTCCTAGTGTCTGAACCTGGTACTTCAGTGCCACAAAAAGACATCAATATGATTCTTACGGAAGAAATACATTTTGTAAATTAGCCTAACAAAACTCCTACTTTTTCTGTGACTTAATTATATTGAATTGCTCAAATTCTGGAAAATAATAATGTACAAAAGAGATGTTTTAAAAATGAATAAAATGGTTACAAATGCAAGATTTTTCTTGCCTTAACACTTCCAGTTATACATTTGGTATTTTTTCATTTGCGTTCTTTAAAAAGCATTGTATCAATACATTGATACCTCGGCTTACATACAAATTAGTACACTCCTCTCGTACAATATTTTCCAATTGAATATTAATGATTTGCATTAATTGTTTTTTGACCTCAAGTTTTGTTACGTAATTTAAAAGGTGTCTATCGAAAACATTCTTAACCTTAGAAAATAAACTAATAGCTAAATCATTTGGGTAGAAAAGTGTCATTTACATACTGCTTAGTCAGAATATGCGTGTTTCTTAATTTAAGCTTTTCATCTACATTCGATAAAGCATTCTTAAGTGAATAACGAACGCGAGTTCTTTTGAATTTCATAATTAAAACAGCCAAAAACTGCACAAACGTTTCCTGGCATAAGGAATGATGCCAAGAACAGTATTATAAAATAAGTTATCCAGAAATCAACCAGAAAAACAATCAAATTAAAAGAAATTGAGCAGAAAACATACACCAACAGAGCACTGAGCTTAGGCTGTATGAGTTTTCACCAGGTTCTGCCACTAGATGGAGCTGGCATCAGTTTTTGATCGCCCGAATGCGGGATCTCAAGCGCGGCGTTGCGAATTTTGCAGAAGCTGGTCAGTAAAAATGCGGGTATGATTGTGGCTATAAATTCGCATGCGTATTCCCCTTAGAAATTGGAATATGCATACGCAATACTGTAAGACTGCTTTCTCTGTCTTACTACTGTTTCAAAACTATGTCTTCTACTTTCCATGACGTACAGAAATTTGATCAGGTTTTTTTAAAATATATATATATATATATATATATATATATATATATATATATAGTAAATACTATTTAGAAAAACAGGAAAGATACACATTGTTATATTTAAATTCTCTAAAAAGTCGTGAATCTCATCTAACCGCCCGTCTATCCACCCGGACCGGCAGGACCTGGTCCAGGGGCCTCCAATGAATTGAACAATATAAGAATTTTATTAATAAAAAAATTAAGTAACTTTTATAACCTGGAATTGTACAAATTTTACATAAGTACTGTTTGTATAAAATTCGCGCAAAATTTGTCTGAAATATACGACCGTCTCTAACGTTATAATAATATTAATAATAATAATAATAATAATAATAATAATAATAATAATAATAATAATAATAATAATAATTGGCATTGCCGGCCAAATTCAAATTTAGCGCCTAGTTGTTTTTGTAACAGAGCGTTTGATGTTCTTTGAAGGCGAGGAAAGGATTATTCATTTCAAACATGGCGTTTCGGAGATTTTCGGAGTCATAATTTTTCCCATAAATTTGCACGAATTTCTTCTCTGTTGATCAAATACTCATTTCTTTCGTACGTTTCTTGAAGTCGATTCTCAACTGCTTTCTATTAGTTCGGAGCGTCACCGAAAGATCGCACCAGCTCCTGGGCAGCCCCGCGTAAAATTGCGATTGTCGTAACACTGGGAAGTCGTCAATTTTCTACCTCAGACGCCTGCTCGCATTGTCATCACAAGCTAATGCAGAAAGCTGAGTAAAAAACAAGAAATCGTAAGGAAAGGTTTAATTTCGTTTGGACAGAGGTAACTGTGACAATTTCTTCAATACTCGTTAATTCTTTCTCCAAGTAACAATCGTCAATTGTGTGTCGTTTTTTTTTCAGAACTCTCTTGTCTGACAAAAAACTACTGATAGAAGAGGTAATGTTTCGTTGCAGCTTCTATTAAAATGCTCTCCCAACTTTTCTTGCCACGAGGCTTGCTCTTCCGTCTGACCCCGCAAATTTCGCTACGCTCCTTTCACCAACTGGCAGAGAAAGTGGTATTTCTTGAGCGAGAAATAGGCGATTTGAATTTAGCTCAGAGCTTCATTTAGGCTTGAGGATCTTTTACATGCAAGTAAATATACTAACATATGACAGCCGGCTGTACTTCCCCTCCGAAAGAAGGCTCCGTGCGAACGATTTTTTCGCCCTGAAAAATTCACGGCCTCGATCGGCTTTGAACCCGCCAACTTGGGTATAAGGGCCCCTTCCCACGGCGCGGCCGCGGCGCGCTTCGCAGCAGCGCGGCGCGTAGCAGAGCATTGGTTTGAATGGCGGCCTTCCCACGTGCAGCGGGTGGCGGCTGCTGCGGCAGCCGACGCCGAACTCCAGCTACGCGAAGCGGAGGAGGGGTCACGCGCCACCGCTAGCAGAACACAGCTTTAAATGGAAGCGTTCCCACTGCGCCGCGGCCGCAGCGTTCTACCTGCTCCGGTCCCTTTGTTCGTCGTCGCCGGAGGGTCGGCGAAACCTACCCCTCCAGACCCCACCCCCTTCCACGGCGGGCGGCGGTGCGCCCGTGGCTCCGGCGGTGGCTGCGTCGGAAGGGCTCTGCTGCTTGAAGGAAGCGCGAACGCCGTGGCGACGTGGGAAGGCGCCCTAACAGTCTGATACGCCATCGTTTCACCATCGCCGCGCGCGTGTACCGACAGGCTACAACTTCAACATTCTTGGTATTGAAAGCATAACATTCAAAATGGACCATTGTCGAATGGAAATTTCCGGAGGTGTGGTGGATTTCACGGCTTGTCGGTTGACTTGGTGCGGAAGCACCGAGCTCGTCGGTGGACTGCTGTACATCATCTCCGACAAGACCCGTCGCATCGGCCTGGAAATGATCTGCAAGAGCAACCGCTTTGGTTGCCCGTGCCTTTCTGAACCTATACTCTCTGGTGCTGACTCTGTAATATACTCTCTGTTCTGAACCGAGCCGAGTCCGCGCCAGACCCGCTCCGCCTGGGTTCCCCAGCCAGCTTAGCAGGGTCGTAGCGCTCCGGCCAACGACCGGAATGTCCGATGGTGTCACCACAACTCCCACCAACGAGGCTGACGAGAACTCGCAGTCGCGAAATCGGCTGCTGATCAACGTCTTATTCAACCGCAGAAAAGGGATACAAGATGATCTCATGCATGAATAATTCCAAGTTACTAGTCAATTTTGTGTCATCCATTGCTAATAAATTTGAAATATAAAATTTAACAATGCAAATAAAAGATCTATAACTTAGGAGTGAAAATATCTAGTTTTCTAATGTTTCCAACCTTGCTTTGTAGGTACTTTGGGAGGTGATTCCAGAACTCAAAAAAATGTGTGCAGATTTGTACATCTCCCCTACATGTCACATACATTTTTACTGCCCTTTCATGAAAAGAAATCAAACTTACCTATTTATGTAAGGATGGTAAAAGTAATATTAATGTTGCATTTAACATCAAAATTCCAGATCTCAGTAATTTAATAAAAATGATGGTACAATCTTTACAAAGTTACAAGCTCAGCTATGGAAATTTTAATTTACAAACAATTAAAATATATATTAGATATGTAATAGTAATTATTTATTATAAATTAAAAATGTACTCAGTGCATCATTAATTAAATGCATGTTAAATAAATGATACATGTGTACAAAAAATTGGTAGTAATAGCTAAAACTAATTCTTACACACAGAAAAACAATACATTCACTCAAGCACATACACTATTCAGAATTCAGTTAACACCATTTATGTCTTGTTTTGATTGAAATTATCCTTTATTACATTCTCACTTTTCTTTAGAATTGGAAACTCCGAAGTCAAGAAACAATTTTTAATTGAATTATTTCTATCTGCTGATAAGGAAGGGTGAGAGTTAGGCCCGGATTTAAAGTGTCTGGTGCCCTGGGCACAAGGTACAGTTTTACTATCTCCTATTGCAATATAAGTGTAAATATAAAATATTTTCTAATTAAACTTCACAAAAATGAATAACTGTCTAACGAGAGAAGCACATAAAGATTATTAGATATTTTCATAACAAGAGATTTTATTTTGAGAATAAATTAAGCCCCTTTTAATCCAGTGTATTACACATTTTTATTTTGGAAATTTCTTAATACTTTTGTAATTTTAGTAATATTTGTTGCCCAAATTGAGATAAAAACCTGACTGTTTGTTTCAGTAAGTGAAGTATCTGAGCAATAAGTTGTTTACCATTTCTTCAGATCCTGAGGAGTTAATGAAATTTTTAGTCCCTCAATAATAAAGTATTCTTTAGCCTTCAGAAAATAGAATCATCAGTGGCATAGCATGAAAATATGAAACCAGTAGACATCAGCATCAAAACATAATTCAATCAATGTAATTATCTTCCAAAATAGTTATCCCTTGTATTTATTTTTTTATTTGAAATTTTAATTTTCAATGTTAAAATCATTGAATGTTAAATTTAAGTTAAGGTTCAGACCTAGAACTTGATGGAAAATTAATGATTGAATTACTCAACACAAGCAATACTAAAATTTTGAAGTAGGTACAACTTCATAATGAGAACACTCAAGCACAGTACGAATCATAGTCTAATGAAATGTTTCCTGGTGAGAAAGACAAAACTGCACCCCAGCTGTTGAAGTTACATGCTTTATGCTCATGAGAAGGTTCTTACTTTCTCTTGGGTTTCTGTTGGGATGCAAATACTGAATTTCCTTATGGGAAGCTAAGGATTGGACATCAGATCTGTGAAAGTTTATTGAGACATCTTACTTGGATTTCTCAGGTTCTTGCTGACAGTCCACTGAGTCAGCAAGATGGATTTTGCCTTTCACTTTGAAAACACTCGGATTTGAAAAATAATATTTTAAATTGAAATATGTATCCTGGATTCTTTTAATGTTTTCCTTGGGTTTATTTTATCCTCAGTGGATGTCTACCTTGTTTGCCTCATGCTTTTCCACTGCACATCTTACCCTTGATGAAAGATTATCACAACTCAAAAATGCAATTTTTCAAGAGAAGTATGTAAACAGTTGAAGCTGTCATTTAAGGGTATGGATAAGAACATATGTAAATAAAGTGTGAAATTTATGTCCTCAAAAAGAATTGAACGGTGAAATTATGCCCACACACAGGGTCAGTCAATCTCATTTTCATGTATTTCAACCTACAATTCAGCATGAGCTGCAACAGTTTCCATCAGACGTCCAACATAATGCTGAACTTTAAATTGGTAAAATAGACAAACTTTTTTAATATATCAGGAAGGCTAATTTGTCTACAATTTACTTCCTTAAAAATGTTGCATAGATCCTATGGGCTCAAACGTAAATCCGGGACTGATGACAGTTGGTATTTCAGCACTAAAAGAGAATTATAGATACTGTGTATGATCAACAATAAACAATTTCTTCTGACTTCCATAATATGGCACTATAGTCAACAGGAGATTGCACCTGCAAACACTACAAAACTAGGAACACATAAGGTCTATATTTGACTCATTCATAATGGAAAACTTCCTCACCACTTCTTAGAAATAATAAAGTCAGCACATGGTGCTACTTGAATCTCTGGAACATCAATGAGACTTGTCCAAATAACTTGATGAACAGTCTGCATATCATGAAATAACAAAGAAAAACTATACAATAATAACAAGATATAACTATTACTGTGCAAAAGACAGAATTATAATACAGGAAAACTTCACCTCCAATAATATTAATGTGAATTATTACATTTAGCAGTGATATCTTTATCTAATGAAAGTTCTTCAATTGATCAGAAAGTAAATAAAGATATTACCAGTTTCAGGTTCATACCATGTATGAGACATACATATACGATATATGTAAGAATAAAACAATAATTATGGGATATTGACAGGGTACCCATAATGTTAAGCAAGAAGTGTTGATATTTAAACGAGATGATTAAACTTACATAATCTACATTTACATTGGCAGTGATAAAAACTGAGTTCATGGTCCATAGAATGGAGACCACATTCTTTAAAGTCCCATAAAAAATGTTGCACCCAATCTTTTGAATTTTAGCAACATTTTCTAGCCAAGTGAAATTTGATACACCAAAAGAAACCATAAAGTAAGAGCACAATATGTTATTCAACTTTCTGCCTAATCTCAGACAATTATTTTCTGCAGTTAAATTGATTAAAAAGAATCTTTTCATTTAAGTATGAAATCATTTGTATATAAAACAAGCATATATACAAGAGTTTTAACAAAATGTTTTCTGAAGGTTGATTAGTTATTATATGAAAAATGTAAGCTAGAACAGTCTTTTCTCATAGATTATCCAAAAATATATTAATTTTTATTCTCTCAGATTGATGGACTTAATAACAAAGCGTTAAGTAACCAGCCTTTAACTCTTTGATTTTGACAACAAATTTTTTATTGCTTAAATTTTATTTATCATTAATTAAGGCCCTTTTGTGTTGCCAGAACTGGATCTTGGTCCAAGAGCTGCAGCAATGTAGTTACTTGTAGGATAATTGCAGAATTCACAAAAGCCAGGTGATCCTTGTGGTCCGGGTGCACCTCTTAGCCCAGGCATTCCTGTGAAAAACAATCATTAAGTGTTCATTACACTCTAGACACAATGTGCTCTAGAAACCATATGCTTCAGATCCGTGATCTGCTTATGCCTTCTTCTCTTTTGCTTCTGAAACACACACACATACGTGTAACTGTGATCTTGCTGTCCAAGGCTTTTTCCAGACAAAGCTAGGTAGTTACCCTTTGCTCCACAATCCAATTGCTCCCAATAATCTATGCATGTTTTCTGAGTTTTCATTTTGCAAGATGTGAGGTAAGTGGAAGAATTGGTTGTTTTTATGCCAACACAATCAAAATATGTCTGAAGCTTGTTTGTTAAAGCAAATAATTTCTACGAAATGGAACGAATTGTTATCAATAATACTCATTGCTATCTTTTATTCAAAATTCCAATGTATTGGTAAAGGAGAAGGGCCCAATAGTCATATATAATGAAATATTCTATTTCTGGAAATATGTTCAATTCTTTGTTTTCCCCTTTTTTATGCTGATAATTTGGAGAATTAATGTACATTAATTGGGAAAAGCCTCTACAAACCATCTGTCATCCCTGTAAATAGTTCAACATAAAATGAATAATCGATATTAATTTATTAATTAATTGAATAATGCATTCTTCTCGTAGTCCTTTTTTCTAGTAAAATGTGACAAATGTAAATTAAAAAAGGTTAATGGAAAACAGGGACCTAGAGGGGCTCAGAAATGTAGTTAGCCTTCCCTCTCTTGTTTTAGGCTGTGCACACACAAGCTTATCACCACCCATGCTCAAAAACATGTTTATAAATCCTTACATTAAAATATGTTTATACTTCCTTACAATGGAAGGAAACAGCTCATCTATCCCAGGATTGCAGGAATTAAGATATGTAGTAACGTCAATCATAGAAATATCAGCACTAAACTTCTTGAATACATTCTGAATATCCTAAAGAATAACATTAAATAACAGTTATGTCCGCTACAGCATGTTATGTCCACTACAGCAGTTATGTCCATTACTGCATGGATATGTAAATTTTCATTTTTCACAGACTTCCTCAAATATTGAAATAGTAACAGTAATGGACAATAAAAATGTCCCCTAGAAGCATTTTTAATTGATTTTTGATTTATATTTGAAATTAAATTATTTTTTATTATATAATAAAAATAAATTATATTATTAAAATTATTTTTATATTAATTTATTCAAAAAAGTATTTGAATTATTTATTAAATTGGATGTTTAACTTGCCTTCAACTACATCAAATAATTTTATTAGTATAATCTATGTGACAGTGTAATAGTTTTACTAAAGCAAAAAAACTTTAATAGAATAAATTTGTTTATAATTCCATACTTTTTTTCTAAGACACCCCTGTGCTTCTAAAGTAAGACTAGTAGAGGAAGTTCTAATCCTTACTTCCTAGTTGGAAATTCCAATACCCCTGAAGTGTAGCCAATGTAGTCTACACTCTAACAACCTTAGTTATCTAGTCATGCAGCGTAATATCTACTGTTCTTTCTCCTTCCTCATACCTGGGCGTCCTGGTTCTCCCCTTTCTCCTTCTCTTCCTGGGAGTCCTAAGCCTTCTGGTCCGGGTGGTCCTGGAACAATATTAGAGTGGATGATGTTGAACTTGATAAAAAGTGGGTTTTTTTTAATCTTTATTTTTATTTTTACATAGAACATAAATTAAAGGATGGCATTTGAGGTTATAATTTCTTCATAATTTCATAGGAGCAAGTACATGAAATTAAAAACCATTATTTTCCTTTCTTTATCCTATCCAGAGATTCACATTTATAATACAGATAATTCATAATTATAATACAGCTTTTGCTGCTTACTCCAAAATGTCACACAGTTTAAATTGCTTTCTACTTTCTCGCCCTTAGGAATGTGTTGGTAAATGACTAATTTTCGGCAGAAATACATTTATTGTGAGGCCCTGGTAACAAAAAAGTGTATAAATCCATTTGCTAAATATAGAAAAAAATTCCTGTAACATGTGGGGTAGCCAGAAGTAAGCATTTTTATGCCTGTGCTTGAGTTCTATCCACTCGGCGCTTCTGTGGCGTAGAGGTATGAGTGTAGGATGAGGATCTAAGTTCGAGTCTCAGAGCAGAAGAAAAAAATGTTGGTAGGGTGAAAACACTTTTGCAGGTTTATGAAGTAGAACAATGTAGCGGAGCAGTTAGAAATAATGCGAGAAAGTATGTGCTTTTGTAGCACATCTAGTTTCTTGTATAATACAATGTGATGATAATTATAATTAATGGATTTCAAATCATCTAGAAATAATTCAGTCTGAATGGTGGTCTATCAGTCACTGTAATTCTCAAAATTATACATTACCTGTATTTTAGTAGGCTCTATAGGTCACAATGTCACACCCCAAAAGACAGCCCATACAATAAGGTTTACTGATCATGTACTATCAAATGAAATACACAGAACTGTTTTTCTCATTTGCTCATGGTAAAGACTGGATAAGAAAATAGAGATAGGTTACCAGGGAGTCCTCGTGGGCCGGCAGGTCCTTCTACTCCCACACCTTCTGGGCCCCGGTCGCCCTTGTCCCCTCTCTCTCCAGGGGGACCTGGGGGTCCACTGGGCCCCATTGGGCCGGGCAGGCCTGAGAAGCCCCTCTCGCCTGGCAGGCCAGCAGGACCTCGGTCACCTGCGCAATGATGCACAACATGTTAAGCAGTACTCTTCAGGCAGAAGACAAGGGATTGAAAATGAATCCTCTCTAATATGGGAAGTCAAAAGTTATGAAACATTGTAAATGGCATCAGAAAGAATATTATGACCTCCTTTAGATTAGTATTGATTTTGTTGCCTTTCACTTAAGATTGACAATTGCCTAATTTTTATACATAACAAATTATTTCAAACAAATAAATATTTATTGTTTACAATAATATCCCTGATTTTAAATGTATATTTTTATTTTGGGAATTGCTGAAAGAAAATCTAATGCAGGGATGGATCCAGAGATGAATTTTGGGAGGAGAATTTTTTTTCCAAAATGTTTTGGTTGAATGTTACATATTATAGATTATGTAGAATGACACAAGCTAAACTCAGATCATGTTGCAATACAGTTTTATTTGTTTTAATGTTTATATAAAAATAATTTGGTTTGAAAGTTTCATGTCAAGTTAAAGTTAATATTTACTGAAAATTTTGGGAGGGGAAAATTCCCTCATGTCCTTCCCTGTGGATCCGTGCCTGTAAAGAAAATATTTAATTTGATGCCATAGTAGAGAGGCTTCAAAGTAATATATTGTACATGCTAATTTTTTTTCTATTTCTCATAGCATGAAAAATGTTAATATTTAATAATCAAGATAATAAAGCATAATTTCGAAAATAGGATCCGTTAATATTACAGGAAAAAATTCAATTATTTGTCACTGCAAAATTTGTAAGATCTGTACAGCATTTAATTAGGATAAGGTTCTACACTACAGTTTGTGGTTTAGGCAATAGCAAGGCAAGCAACAAAAGATTTATTTGTATTATTCAAGATATCTTTTTCAGGTGAATAACTATGAGAATAGTTATTGATGACATAGTTTTAGTGAATATTGATTTCCTAATTTTTTCTTTGCTTAAGAATGAATTCTGAGACGATAAGTTACTTAGAAACCCCAAATTCATTTGTTCAGCTAACTAGCCCAAGGGACCTCCAAACCATTGCCCATGGACCACACATCTCGTCAGTTTGAAAAATGATGCCAAGAGCCAATGAAATAAAGCGTATTATCTAATAGTATTGAAGAAATGCCTTATGCTTATGCTAGTTTAATTATCCTAAAATCTAATGATTCCATTTAAGAGAGAGAAAAATACAATTACAGCCCTTGTAATCAAAGATAATGAAAAAAATGAAAAGCTATCTTGAAAATAATTGTAATAATTGTTTACTCTAAGAGACATCATAACCGAAATAGTAATAGACCTTAATATAAATTGTCTCAAATTTTCATATCTTTCGCTTACAAATTTTAGTTTTAATATTTCAGTTTCAAAACATTATCTTTTCTCTTTTCATTCACGCAGTGCAAAACATCAACCATAAAATTTGGAATCCTTTTAAAAGTTTGGAAGCCCCTGGGGGCTAAACACATAACTGGGGCCATTACAAAGGCAGGGTACCTGGGATCCCAGGGACACCGATTTGCCCTGGCCTACCAAGGCGACTTTGCCCCGGTGGACCTGGTGGTCCGCGGAGGCCTGATGTTAATTCTTCCATACGATCTGAAGAGAGCAAATGTAATAAGTTGCCAGAAAAGCTTTGATTTTATTGCATCTGTGATCAGCTTTTAGCAAAATCAGGGCTCCAAGCTGTAGGAAGCTGCAGATAAAAAGCTGTTTTGATGGAATGAAGGTTTCAAACTGAATTTATGTCACAATCCAATAGAGAAGATCTACTAGTCTGCTTTGTTGTGCTATAAACAATATTTTTAGTAGATTCTTCTTTGCATCATTCTTTTAAAAGCAAAAGAGAGTTCTCAGCAAACCAGGCTCCACTGTCGCAAGGAAATTCAAAGTTGAAAATAGGCAAAATAGCAATGTCTTATCAGTTTCATTATAGCGTGAATTTAGGATCTGCTCAGTTTGCTTGAATAGAGTGTTGCCAAGATGCTAACTGAGAACTCTCCCTTGGTACAAATACAAGCATCATTTCCAAACCTGGGGATCCCTGGGGGCCTGGGGCCCCAGGTCGGCCAACCTTGCTCCTCCCAGGAGGACCAGGGGGTCCCATGAGCGTTGCAGTCAATTCACTCAGCTGGTCTAAAGAGTAGAACATTAACACCAATGGTTTCCACTCACGTACACAGACAAAAATATTTAGTACACTAATTCCATGTAGATACTGATTATAAATTAGTTATTTTTGAATAAATGATTTACATCAATACACTGATACCTACATAATTCTTTTTATTTATCTCTCATGATTAACTGTTAATTTGAATGATAAAACACCTACCTCTAAGTACAGCAGCACATATGTCTCTGACTTCAGATTCCGTAAAACTGTGACCCTATAAGAACAATTTTCATCAACATGTAATCAGCAATACAATTTGTAATTCAATCCATTGAGAAATAATGAAACAGTAGTTTACCGGAGGTCCTGTGAGTCCAGGTAGCCCAGGGGGGCCCCTTTGACCAGGGGGTCCTGGAATGCCTGGTGCCCCATCTTTGCCGGGCATCCCTGGCACTCCCGGCTGCCCTGTGGGCCCCATCTCTCCATGTGCCCCTCTTTCTCCAGGCTGGAAATGGATAGACCCTTGAGAAACCTAATACATGTAATACGTTGCGTCTGGCAGAATAGCTGGTGTTTTTTTGTTGTTTTTTTTCCTCCCAACTATAGATCCTGCTCACATACACTCCTCCCTCAATTTTTTGGATGAAATTTGAGGGGGGGGGGATTCTTGCATATTGAACCCTTCAACTTAAAGGAAACAACTTTTCCTTACTTCTTTACTCAGTGCTATTTCTAAAGGGACTTTCTGTATGCATCAAGTAAACTTAAAATTTTTCTGTTGTATAGCCTCCATTTTCAAGTTTTATTTTATATCTGTCCATCTATATATATTTTTTTAATTTACTTTTTATTTTACTTTATTTATTTTGATGCACCTTTTTTGCATCTATGTCTCTTAGTCATCTTTTAGGTATTGAACATAATTATAAATATATTTGCAGTAATCCTTTATTAAATTTGTCTTTCGTATTATAACATCGCAGTTAGTCATTGTACTTTATCCCTTGAGCCAGGGCTCCACACCATTAGTAAATGGGGTTCAAAGAACCGTTAGTAACCTGTCCAGAATTTGGTGGGGTTTCGAGTTGCTTAACTTGCTGTGACTTCACAGAGTGTAATTATGCAATTTGGTTAACAACGCTGGCTGTATGACAAATAAGGAAAAACATTTTGCTTCATTTTGAGTTACGCACATGTCAGTCCTACACCATTTTTAATGCCAAGTTTTGGAAGAAAAGGGGGCTTAAGTTTGAGAAAATTTGGTAGCAGCAAATGGTAGCTTGTACAGTTCTGGTTTTCAATTGGTATGAGTTCACAACTATATTAAAAAATATAATATATTTCAATTTAATTATAAACAACTAATGATACTTGGATGTACATATACATCCCACTCATATATTTATCTCATACATCCTTGCTGCCTGAAATTTTAAGATACACGGTATCCCAACTTTCAAAGCCTTTTTCAGGCATATTGATTCTTGGATGCTTTTTGTATAATTTCATTTCAATGCAATATGTCCTTCTTAAATTATTATAATTATCATATAATTATAGAATATTACCAGCCCTGTGGGTCCGGGGGGGCCAGAAGGACCTCTGGCCCCGATGGTCCACGTGTTGTCCAGGCCGATGGAGTTGGGGATCTGGGTGCTCTCCCCTGGAGGTCCAGGAGGCCCTGGGGGTCCGGGCTGCCCAGGGGGACCCACAGGTCCTGTGAAGCCAGGCATGCCGGGAGGGCCTGGAGTCCCCGGAACACCTCGACCACCCTAGACAAAAGCCACTCAAATATTAAGACTTAGAGTGTCATGCTCCACCAGTTTTTCATTATACTGAAGGTAAGGAGGGGGTCCAGCAGTAGATTTTGTAAATTTTATTTGGTTTATTGTATTTTTGTACTAATTGATAAAAAATCTTAAATTAACAAATCTATATTTTTCAAAACATTCTCAGTGACATATGGGTCCACTTTTGTAGTTTGTTTTCAGGCATCAGATTGTGAAGTTACTTTATACCTTTTGCTTTATAAAAGTGTACATTATAATTATGCAGATTTGCAAATAAAGTGGTTAAAAATGCAACATTTAAATATTTTATTCCAGTTGTCTTTTTACACCATTACATTCTTACATCAATCACTCATGCATTTTACTCATATTTCAGAATATTAAGGTAGTAAATTTTATTATAATCACAGCATTTAATGTCAAAAAACTCTTTGGATAAATAGCTGTGGTTATAATGCAATTTGCTACCTTAATATTCTGAAATATGAGGAAAATATATGTGTGATGTAAAGAATGTGATCGTGAAAAAAGACAACTGGAATTAAATATTTAAATATTGTATTTTTAACCACTTTATTTGCAAAATTGTCAAAAAGCTTTTTGCAAAAGGAATATAAAATGAAAATATCACTCTCGAAGACAAAGTTCATGGGACTGATAGGTAAAGAATATTGTACAACAAAAATAGTCATAGGAAATAAGACTGTTTAACAAGTGTCAATGTTCCCATACTTGGAGAATAAGATATCATTAATAAAGGAAGATATGGAATCAAAATTAACAAAGTACAACAAGATAAGTGGATGCATCAAAAGACCCTTCCAAAATATGAACACTGAGGCAAAAATTAGATAACATAATACTTTTGCAAAACCCACATACTAATATATGGTAGTGAAATATGGATTCTGAAATAAAGAGACAAAAAAAGAACTGAAGTGGCATAAATGAGAAATGTGAGATCAATTTTAATCAAGGAGAGATAGGATAAGAAATGAAAAGATCGGGAAAATACTTAAAGTAAAAAATATTGTCCCAGAAATAGAAATGGCAAGAACCCACCAAAAGAATGAAGATAGAACATTTCCTCCAATATAAAAGTCCTCCAATATAAACCAAGAGTAAGAAGAAAACCTGTCAAACCAAGAATCCACTGTGAAGTTCAAGAACACCTCAGAAGAACTAAAGGAATGTTGATAAATCAAGGAACAAGTCAACTGACCTAAACCTTAAACATTCATGGTGATGATGAAGATGAAATGAACAACTACATTATTGGAATTACGATAACATTTTAAGCAATCAGGAAAAAATATTCATTTTATTATTACACAAGTTAGAGGAGATCCGTGGGGTACTCACCAGAGCTCCAGGCAATCCCCGAGGGCCAATAGAGCCTTGCGCTCCGTCGTCTCCTCTGTCCCCTTTTGGTCCTGGCTTCCCCACAATGCCAGGGAGTCCAGGTTTCCCCTGTTTGCCCTAAAAAAGATTACAATAATACTATTTATATTATTACTATTATTACTATGAATATTATTTATATTATAATTATTTTGTTTAATCCCTGACATTGATGTTGATGACAAATTTTATGTAAAAAAATAGCAAGATAAACTGAAGAAGAATTATTCATATTGAAAAGATAACATATTTCTTATGAACTATACAAATTATTTGTAAATTTTATTAACATTATTTTTTATTAGCGGAAAATGTCAGTTCTTTGCACATACCTCTGCTCCATCAGGTCCTCTAGGTCCAGGTTCACCTCTTGCTCCAGGGATGCCCTTGTTAGAAGCACACAAGAATCAGCACATCAGCATAATCAAAATTTCCCTCAGAACACAACAAAGACAACTAAGATGTAACACCAAAATCAAAAATGAGAGAAAGAGAATATTAACCACACTGTGGGATTAATATTCTGTTTATGAATGCATCAAATGGTTCTAGGAAGTTATTTTGTCTACCTTCAGAGTTTGAAACGACAATTGGAGCTGTAACACCAAGAGTCAGTGTTTGTCAGTGTTGTGTGAACTTTTTGAATTATCATGTCACCAAACAATATGATTCAATTCAACATTGTTATTTTCTCATTTGCTACTATGTCCTGATACTGGAAAAGTGATTTTTTTTTTTTTATTTCTTAATGTAGTAAATTACTTTCTTGAATTTGTGTAGTTAGAATCCCCATTTTGGGGGTCCTTGATACCAAACAAGTGTTTTTTGGCAATTCATCTGTCTGTTCATCTACAAACAACACTAGTGCCTATGCCATTCACAGGATATTTACTAAAACTGATATTCTCTGATCCATCTGCCTCATGTTGCAATTCTTTCAATTTTAAATTATTTTAATTTTAGGGTGTATTTTAAGGCCTCAACGACATTTTCAAAAATGGCTCTAAATATTTTAAAAAAAATGTTTTTACTTCAATAGAACAATGAATATTTATATAAATGGCACAGATTTGATATTCACTAAATCTTCTGAATTTTTAAAATAGTAAATGTTTTACATTTTTAACTTTCTCAAAAACTCTCAAAAAAAATTGTAGTCTTATTTGTGGCATTATTGGATATGAAGAAATCAACAATGAGATAAAATCAAAATGAGGAAGGCCTGGAAGATGTGCTTTCTGTTCAGAAGACAAACACAGTGATATGTTCTTACTGTGTATGTGTAAATCACCAAGGAATTTGCCCCAAATGCAAGAATGTCAGGGCCTAGACCTTGTCAAAAACCAGTAAATTAACCAATTTTTTGTGGTCTTCATACACTGAGTTAGAAATTTCAAGTTTTCATCAATATCTAATGGATAGTTATTGTGTCTAAAGACATAATAATATTATTCAAATTATAGAAATGTTGCATATGCAGTATGTACAGAGCAGTTTCAAAGTTTGAAAGTGTCTAATAATGATATACAAAATACTGTGTAAATTATATGCTCAATTAAGGTTGTCTTTACACCTGTTTTGAAAACTGTTTGAATGTGCTGTAAATCTGACTACAGAGAGTTTGAGTAAGTCAAAACATCATTTTCATCAAAATTTCAGATGGACCCTTATCACTGAAGCCACAATATTCCTTTACGTAATATTTGTCTCTTTGTTAACCCTAAAAAAATGAAGTAGTGTTTTTAGTGTTTTATACCTTTTCTCCTTCAGGCCCCTGTTGGCCCTCCCGGCCCGGGAGGCCAGGGACTCCTGGAGGGCCAGGGGGGCCAGAACTACCCTCACTGCCCTTGGGTCCAGGCTCCCCATCCTCCCCTTGGGGGCCGGGAGGTCCGGCTGGGCCGGGTGGTCCTGGGTCCCCAGCAGCGGCGGCGGTGCCTGGGAGGCCAGGTGCTCCGTCAGTGCCTGGCTCACCCTTCTGCCCAGGGGAGCCTGTGTTTCCACGAGCACCAGTGGGGCCCTGAAAGCCCATGGAAGCTTCAAGTTAATTCACAGTACAAACAAAACGGCAAAACTCAATTATCCTAAAATCTTCGAAGCTTACATGAGGTGAGAGAAAATTGAATTTGACAATGATCAAACACAAACAATGATCAGTAAGTAATTTGTTTACTCAAAATAACTTAATTTGTCTACTGTCCCATCTCATTACAGTGACTTGTTGAGAGGTCCCCCAGGCAGCATCTCCGTGTACGCAGCTCCTACCATGCACTCCAACATCACTACCGAGTGGCCAGAATTACCAAGGATTGAGAAAAGAGGTAGGGTTTAGGACACTTCACAGGGGTTGGACTAGCGCCTGTCTGTGAAGCAAGCAAACTTGTTTTGTTGGAACAAATTTCACATGAGATTGTCCAGGAATCAAACTCGCACCTCTTTGGTGAATGGTGGGGGTGAATTGACTTTGCTCTGCGCCATGAGATACCCAAAGAGAGAATAGTTTTAGAACAAGAGTTACGAAATGTGTGTATTTTGAGAATAATATATTAAGAGGTACTTGTTGCCAATTTTGATTTTATAAAGTAATGCGACTTATTAATCTGAAGCATTTGTTCCTTGATTGTTAAATTTTAGTTAATAGTAATTGTAAAAAATGCCCTATCCCAGAGTGTACATGTAAGAAAAATATACTGTAAGGTTTTCAAATGTGTGTATTTTTTTTTTAAGAACTAATTTTGGTGCACAATTTTTATAAATTATTTCACAGTGTTTTCTTCAAGTCTATTTTAAATATTTATTAAACTTATCTTAAAGCATATTTCATGCAAATTACATGCACTTTTATTGTTTATATCCCTGAAATTAAACATTTAAATAATGAACAAATTTTTAACTATTGCCTCTTGTAATGATATTTCTTTCAATCCCTGATCTTTTGAGATAAACATGTCAATATTCTAAAAAGTAGAGGAAAGTTGGGTAAATCAGAGAGCATTTCTGTTTAACTTTATAAACCTTAGAGAACATTTTTTTATTATATTCTGAAATTTTGTCCTTCTAAATGTGAGTTTAAGGGGTGATTTTTAGCTTTTATTTTGCAAAAACATCATTAAAAAGTATTTTTTAAATGATTCATTGATTCTAAACAAATCATTTTCTTTTTATCAACACTTCCTGATTAACTTGGCTTTTCCGTAGGTTTGTTGTACTTACAGGAAGGCCCACAAGACCTGGGGGCCCTTGAATGCCTGCAGGTCCAATGAAGCCCATTTCGCCTTTCAGCCCGGGAGGGCCAGGAGGGCCCTCTTTGCCCTGTGGGCCTCTGGTGCCATCCACTCCAGGGATGCCAGCCACCCCTCGCTCCCCTGAAAACCCAACACAAAGTGATTTAGTTGATTCAAATAGGTAAGTTTGCTTGTCCTTTATTCATATTATTTAGAGAAATGTGGCCTTTCTTATTAATGTCAGGTAGACAAGTATTAAGTTAATATAAAAACTTATTGATTTTTCTTCATTGATATTCCATTGATGATTTTTATGACATTTACTCATAACTTTTAATACACAGAATACAGTTTATTGTAAATTTTTTTCACATATACTTACACTAATAGTGTTACAGACTGATGATAGGAGTATCAAACTCCCAAAACATTGCACAATATGTGTTCTTCGAGAATACAAAGAAATATCAATGAGATTTTAAATTAACTTAATAGGTATTGTCTTTATTAGTAAGTTTTTAGACAACAGATAACAGCCCAGCAAGTGATCTCTTATATCCTTTTTGGCAGGAACTTTCAAAATAATATTTATATTTAAAATATAATAAATGAAATGTTGATTGTGCAAATGAACTTACAATAACAATAACAAGAATCTTATGTTTCTTGAAGACCTTCTCACTACAATGAATTTTCCATGACGAATAAATACCTTATAAAAACTTCTTATTCAGTTTAGAGTTTGCTTTTATTATGTTGGTATTACTATAATATTTCATGCATCTACATTTTTTCACATATTTTTTGACTTACAACTAACAATGGCCTATACGGCTATCTCTAAGAATCAAGGTAGCTTAATAAATAAGCATGGTAAAACATTTTTCAACCTATGGTCCACAGAAGGCAGTATTTAAAATATCTTGCAACATAAGTATCAATATAATTTAACACATTATTTTTCTTCTGGCACAAATGTACCTCACCATTAATCATTGCTGCAGCATACTAAGAGAACTCCACTCTTGAGTTCAATCAATAGGCTTGTAACAAGTGTTGGTAAGTAAAGTATGCATCACTTAATAGCAGTCAAGTAAGAAGTTTTAAGTCATTGTAGCATTAGGGATATATACAGACAGACCACCAATCAAACCTCTATATATCAAAATTACCTATAAATCAATTTTTTTCTGTCCCTTGAAAATTTCGTTTAAAAACGTTTCTATACATCAAAAATTATTTCTATATATTGAACCCCTTTTCTGACTTAACTATTTTTTTCTATGAAATAGAAATGTACAGTAAATACTATAAATTATATTTATAAAAAATTAAAATTGTTTAATTTGGAAGGAGAATATTACTACTGTGAATATAACTTCCTTCTGGATGTTTGTATAATTGAATAAACGGTTATAAAACAGCAAAATGCTTTCTACCCCCAAACATTTTTTAAAAATCTTGAAGTAGAAGAAGGAGATCAAAATTTTATTATTAATTTATTATTAATTTAAATGTTTTATAATTAATAGTATATTAAATATTATCAAAGGAACAATCAGGTTTGATATATGGAGGTCAGACTGTATTAAAAAAAAGTCTTCAAGTTATGGTTGTGCTGGGGCTGGTTGCTTTTCCTTACCTTTTTCCCCTGTCAGCCCTATCTCCCCCCTCTCTCCTTGGGAGCCCTTGCTGCCCTTGGGCCCAGGAAGACCAATCACTCCAGGCTCACCTGGAGGGCCAGGCGCCCCTGGCACCCCAGGGGCAGTGCCTCCAGCCTCATTCACGCCTGGTTGCCCAGGAGGGCCTACTGGACCCTGGGAAGAACATTGACAACTTCATGCAAGCAGCATAATGCTTATACAGATTAATTTGTTCCCTTATTTGATGAATTATTCACCTGTTTGCTCTTTAATGTATTAATTAATTAATTTCCTTACTTGCTTACTTATTTATTCACTTGCTTGTTTATGTATTGATTGGCTTAACATTACAGACATATTCATGACCAATGAACAAAAATCAAACAAACAATTAAGCAATTATAAAACACTATCTTCTAGCTTATATTCATGATTCTCTGATCACATAATCAGGAGAGAATCCTCCCCATTATTTTCCAATATAGGTAATGCTTTATAAGTGATTACTTCCACAATGCTTCTCTATTTAAGAATTAGAAAAGTGACTTCTTCTTCTGTGAAACTACAGCTTGTCCAGGAATCACAATCCCTTTGTCTGCCATTTTAATTTCTTTAAAATTGAGAGTTCCAAGATGCAAAGAAGTCTAAGGAAGTGGCTAAGTGCATCACTTACTGGAGGCCCCTGGAGACCCCGTGGGCCAGAGAGGCCAGTCTCTCCACGGTCTCCTTTGCTCCCACGCTCTCCCTTGCTGCCATCGCGGCCAGCGGGTCCCACCTCTCCTGGGAGCCCTGGCACACCGCGTTGCCCCTCCGGACCCTCTTCACCAGGTGGACCCTATACATACACATACATCGGTAACAAATATGAAAAGGGAGCTCCAAAAGCCACTGGTGGGCATGTTAAAACCTCAGCACTCACATAAAATCAGTAATTAATGTCTATAAATGTTATGATAAAAAACAAACAAAATGTATATGTATTTTATAGGTCTACATATATCTATTGTCCACAAAGTGGTGGATTGCATGTGATTTCAGGTAAATGATGCAGTCAGGCAAATCAGTGGTTTTGTAAACAGAGGTTTGCAATTGTCTGTGAGCTGGTACCTGTGAGTAGAAGGTAGTATGGACCACATACAAATGAGAGATGGCAACACATCACCCCACTCAGAATTTGATATAACAGTGATAGTTGACTAGTCAGTTTTCATATTGTGCCAATGCTATTTGTCCATTAGTATTTATGTTACTTGTGTAATTTTTAACGTTTTTCTGTTTTTATGTAATAATATAGAACATACAGAGTAAGGGGAAAATAGCCAAAATGTACTATGAAATTTATGTCATTCGATCTGCAACTGAGGATCAATAAATACTTATTTTTTTAACCAACTCTATGATTTTATCACTGCCGACACATTCTGTACAGCAATTGTTGGGCTATGACCCTCCTACCATAACTTTAAATTGTTTAAGGAAAATGAATGATAAATGGTAAGTTGTCGCAAGAAATTGGAGAAGTCATAGTTACAAATTTTGACATCTAGTATGAGACAAATTTCTTCATATGATATTATGTGAATGCCGAAAAAGTTGTGGTGCTACAAGTGTTACAAGAAAAGTTGACCAAGAAGCATTTTGTGGGTTTGTTGTTAAGATTAGCTTCCTTTTGCTCTACTCTCAAGGAAGATATTTGTAAGTGTCGTGTGAATTTTGAAGGTACAGTTTTCACCTTTAAAATAACTATGCTTGTACATTTCTGTTAAAATGCAGTCATACACAGTTCTCATCTTCTGTCTGAAAATGAAACACATTTTGGCATAATTAGAGTTGCAATTATGTCAACTTTGTTTATTTATAGATACATTTGATCAATTTGAAATAATAAAAAATAACATTCAGAATCATCAGAATAATTTTAAGGCTTTTTACTGATGGAATACAGAAATGTTTCCACAATGTGGAAAAAAAGTAGTGATTGCAAACATTTCATTTATGTTTGTGTAGTGAAAATTTATTTTAAAAATTGTATCAAAAAGAGTGCCTATGCAATTTGTGTAAAATTGTATGCAAAGTTATTCTGTACCAAATATAATCCATTTTATTTGGAATTAAAGAAACATAGGGGCACATCTAATTGAATAATATTATAATTTTTTGCTATCAGCTATCCAATCAGGTACTTGAAGGATTTTCTTCTATAACTCCACTAAAAGCATGGAGACAGCCACCACATGGCATGCAGAACGCAACTGCTGTGCAGAACACAGCATGGGAAGCACTAGCTGAATGCAGTTTGCTTACCGGCAACCCTGGCAAACCGGGGACACCTGAAGGCCCAGGCACAGAGGTGCCACCTGTCACATTCCCTGCAGGTCCAGGGGGCCCTCGTGGCCCTGGTCGCCCAGAGCTGCCAGGAAGTCCATCCTCTCCTCTATCACCTTTGGGCCCCACAGCTCCTTCACCGCCCTGCATCACATGCACAACATGAGCATATCAGACTGCGGTGGATCCAGCCGATCATTTTTTTGGCAGGGAAAGGAGCATCATAGATTTTTGTTAAATAATAAAGATATTTTTTATTATATTGTATATTATTTATGGACTGTAGATATGATACTATACAATATTATAGTTTAAAAAAATTACATAATTCAAAGATAAAAGAATATTTAAATCAATTTTGTCAAATAAAGGAAGGTAAACAAAAGCTCTAGGCCTTTTGAGGGAGGGGGCCCTTGGCTGCCATGCCCCCTCCTTGGATGCCAGTGACATCAGAGAAACATTTCTCGATGCTAAAGGACATGAGATCCTTGGCTAACCAACATACTAAGGAAACAATTTTAAATTGGAAGTAGAAATAGACATTAAGGGAAAAATGGTTTTAGCTACTCCAAATTAATTTCCATCCAAATATCAACAATGATTTGTTATGAATGAAATCCTAATTTTTTATTCTCTCTCTAATTTTCTCTCCCCACCAAAGAAACACTTTAGTATTATTTTATGAATTAAATTACTTTATCTATAAGAGCTATCTACCAAACTTTATTTGATGTTTCAAAGAACATTCAGAATGATTTTATTTTCTTGTGAAATAAATATTTGAGTTCCCTTTTCCAAATTTCACTTCAGTGTTAAAATGAATAATTATGGAAATATATCAATTTGTTTTTATCTCTTTGACAAAAACCTCATTAAAACAATATCAAATGTCTTTCGTTTGAGCATACATACTATTCTATTTAGATATTTCTTATAAAATTTTTTGCTTTCATTTACTTACGAAGTGATAATGGGTTAAAAATTAATGGCATTCATAAGTAAATACCTTATATGTGAACTCTATATGAAAATGAGCCAAATCCACTTCTATTGCCATCTTGAGGATAAATGTTTTGATGTGTGAATAAAATTTTATTTTACCAATTTTGTGCCATTGCTATTATTATATTACTCAAAGAATTCATTGAATTATTTAAAATTATCATGGTATTTGATGGAATATTCAATTTCACTTGAAAAAGATAAATTAGTTTCAATTAGTTAACCTTCATAGCTCGTGGTTCATGAAAGCTTTGATTCTATGAGGAATAATACTATAATACTATACTCCAATTTAAACATAGTTGCACTTTAAGGTCACAGGTTGGAATGAGAGGAAGGACATTGTCAAACAATCAGGAGCACCAATACCAAAAATTTAAGTAGTAACAAAGCTCCTGAATAGATGTCAGCGTCTCCCTCTCTATTCAGCTCATGACCTTGAAGTGCCACTGTTTAAATCAAAATATAAGCAAATGAGAAACACTGTGCATGTTCAATACTCACTCTTTCTCCTTTCTGTCCTGGAGTCCCTGGAACACCAGGGGGGCCTTCCTCTCCTGGCACACCAGGAGGTCCCACTGGCCCTGGTACACCCTGCGGCCCCTAAACACCATGTTTTCATTCAGTCTTCACAATTATTAACAGTAACTTAAGTAGCTCTATACTACAGGGTGTTAACAGGCCTGGAAAATTGGGAAAAGTGAGGATCATTTTGATATGGGCAGGAAAAATTGTATCATTATTCACATGTGAAACTACATTTCAATGTTTTGGAAATTATACATATGTGATTAAAGTTAAGAATTTTGAAATATGAAATAATTTAATTGAAATTTTCAATTGTTTCATAAATATGGTGTTTCACTGGTTCTCAGTGTTTGGTGATGAGCAACTATATTACTCGTATATCTAGTACATAGCTCTAGTCTATAACTATACTTTAATAGTTCCATGAAGCTGGATAAGTGATTTTTGAAAGTGAACAATTGGAGTTCCGTGTTTTGATAAAAGAGATCTAGAGTTCTTGATAGGTTTTAAAAATAATTCTGCCATAATCAAATTTGCTATAAGAGTTAGATGTTGCTCCTTAGTTGAACTTTACACTTGAAACACAAAATGGTAATGAAATATTTGTGATAATACATGTGATAATTATGTTTCATTTAACACCTATTACTTATTTTGCAATATATGCAATAATAATTTGTATAAAGAAAAATAGAAAAATATTGTAAAAAAAATGTGTAGCAAATATTTCACTTCATCCATGGTAAATCTGTTTTTAATATTCAACCAAAAATTATTGTACAAGACCTGGGAATGCGAGGGAAAGTCATAATTTTGGAAGGTCAGATTTGTCAATACACTATACAATAATTAATTTTCACAATAGCTCAAAAATAAGTTTCATAGACCTACTTAATTTTAAAATGAGGATTGCTCAGGTAAGATAAATTTGACAATAAAAATTGTAGATGCTAACATATAAAGTGAAAACTGATTAAAATTATATAATTTTTCATTTTCAAATATAACACACATGTGCATGCCCACATACATCACTTTTCAGATTGGGAAAGATTAACAGAGGCAAGACTATGGTATTCTGATTGCTTTCCTCTTAAAACTACTAGTAACTAATGAATTTCATATTAAGAAATATTGTTTCTAAGAAAATAATATTGAGGTAAGGATCTTTCACTATTTCTAATCAGACCTAAAAATAGTATACAACCAATCCAATAAAGTTTACTTCTTTCAAGATCTCTATGTTTTGAAGTCATCAATCCTTTTTATTCTTTTCACTTTTAAATATTAAGAATGTAACTTATTTTTGAGCCAATGTGATTAAATAAAATTTCTTTTTCAAATCAGAGAGTGTTTTAACAATAGTATAAGATCTCAGTTAGTGGAAATTACCTTATATTGTTTATGCATCATGCTTCTAGTAATACATTTATTATTTGAAATTTATGTGCAACCAATAAATACTTTTAGTTAACTAATTAAGAATCAACAGATTCTGAATTTTATACCAAAGGCGAGAAAGTAATAAATTTGATGCTCTTAATTTAAAATTGTTAAGAAGGCTCATTATCTTTTCAAAGGTGAGAATATATTCATATGAGAATGCATTTCCCACTCATGTAGTGTGATTGCGTATGTGCTAGAAGAGATTTCTCATGCAATTAAATGTCTTAAAAGATTAATGAAAAATAATTAATAATTACAATTAATAAATATTAATAATTACTTTCTGAATGCATTAGAAAAATACATTAGTAAGTATGTGCATTAAGTCAAAGTCATCCCTCTGTTAATCTAAAGCCCTCTTAGTCCACCTTGGTACATTTCGGTTAAAATTAGGTTCTACTTAAAATTAATCCAATTATTTGTAATAAAGAAGAATATTAAATATTAATGCAGATAAGATAAAGAAATTAAGGAAATACTCTCAGTCAGTAGGTACCATGATTAAGCTGTTAACATTCTTTATTATTTAAAGAATACAGCTAATAAGCACAAAATTGGAGGCAAAATAAAAAGTTTTAAATTAGTTACTGGATATACTTTACATTATTTGAAACATAAGCTTTAATACAACTTATAATAGATAAGCTTCCTGCTAGCGAATTCTGAACTCATAATGAATGTCAATAGCTCCTGGGTTAATTCATTTCCCTTTGCTATGAGTGAAACCATGCAAATTATTTAATATAAAAAATTATATTCTTCAAGGTGCAGTAAAGTTATTTTAAAATTTGTACACATTTGTTTCTTATTACCTTAATTTTCCCCACATATTTCAGTTTTCTTGCAATTATATTAAACAAAGACTCAATTTATTTTACATGTGACCCAGAGTAAAGGTTGCTTATTGCACTGCACTACAATTAGAAAAGTACGGTATAAGATGTAATCATCAACAACTTTACATAAAACATTAAATTGTGAGAATAGCAAATTTTTCAGTATTTCTAATGATTAAGGGTGACTCATAAAAAAATAATATCTAATCTTGAAGTCATTGAATGATGATAAAATATATATATATATATTATATATATATATATATATAATAATATATATATATATAATATATATATATATATATATATATATTTGTAAGTGATGTGTAATTGTGATTTAATTATAACTGTAATTACTCTACGAAAATTATTTATTATATAACTTTATTTTACACCGATTAATGCATTATGTGTACAACAGCTTGTTGCTGCCACCATTAATAAATTAAAATAAATAAAAATAAAATAAAATAATTAATTTTTTTAAAATGTTTCATTGTGAAATGTTTCTAGGCTGCGTCAATTCCAAAATAAATTTCAGAGTACAACTCTGCCCCTTCTCCCTAGGAGTGTAGCGAGTTACATAAGCTCTGCCAAGTTACCAGGCTGTTAGTGGGAGGGAACCTACAGGGCGGCCTGGCGCTCCACGTGCGCCCTTGGCTCCTGGGAAGCCCGGGAGACCCTGCTCGCCGATGAGGCCGATGGGCCCTCTTGGGCCTGGTGATCCCTGCACAGCATTACAGCCCCTCAGCACAAGCATGCACAAAAAAGCTGACAAACCCGTCTCTGTTGACACATCTACATGGAGATCAGCAACTTCATCCCCGGACAAGGAAGCAAACAACTGTACATATAGGTAATTCTCAAAATTCTTCAAACAACTCTGGAATCAATGGGAAGAAACAGTGATGGTGCAGCTATAATACAGTGCTGGAGTGAGCTAGAAGTACTGATGTTAGATCAAAACATGTTACAGTTACATATTTACATTTTGTTATTCTCTAAGAGCACAAATGCGATGAGTACAATACTGTATTGATACCAAATTGTAGTCAACGTTACTTGAGAAATGGCGTATAGTAATTCAAATACTAAATCAATTGTTAAGTTATTTTTTATTACCTTTATAAATCACTTTACGTCTGAATTATTCATATCAAAATTATTGACTCAATAGATATAATTCTTTGGCTTTGTGGTATGGATATAATGGATAAAAAATATTATTTAACCATTGATGGATGTTCATTTACATTTTTGTAAAGAAGGAAATTTATAAAGATATATTTTAAATTTAAAAATAATATCCATACAAAAGATTTTTTTAATATAAAAATTATTGAAAATAATATATTTTTTTTAATAACAGAATTAAATATGGTCAGTCTCACACACAGAAATGAAGAGTAATAGAAACTCAAGAAACATAAGACTACAGTGAGCACCAATGTCATCTGCCACCTACTGGAACTCCTGGAGGCCCTGTCGGCCCAAGCAGGCCAGTTGCTCCTTGCAGACCTTGGGCTCCTGGTGGTCCTGCAGGCCCTACAGGGCCTTGCAAGCCCTTTGAAGAGAAACAATGTTAGAGCAATAGTGGTAGCATATTCCTCTAGAAAAATTAGAAACATTGTAACAGTAGTAAAAGTGCTGGCATGAGACCAACTGGGGTCGAAAGCTGAATATGAACCTCGGGTCCAAAGCTGAATAAACAATGGGGATGCCTGATGTGCCGGGTCCATGCTGTACACCTGGATCCTTGGAAGATCAGAGGGTCTAGGGTGAAGTGTTCCCAACTGAAATTTTTCAAATGCAGGATATTATCTTGAAAACAGCAAGGATTTCTGAAAATTTGCTTGACAATTCAAGCTTGAAATAAACTGGAGATTATGTTGTATAAAACAGATCACAAATTATATTGTTTTAAATTATTTTGCAATTGTTACCCTGTTTTTATTATTAGAAGAATCCTTATGATCGTTAATAATATAATAATATATGTTGTTTTGCAATAATAATATATTTGGTTTAAAAATTTACCCAACATTGAAGAATTCATTGTTCTGGATGGAGAATTCTTTTTATAAGATGACTATATTATAATTAACTAATGATCAACTCAATGTCCACATGAAGATAATAGTTTATTTATTTTTTTTCAGAAAAAGAAGTGGCACACTAGATGTACAGAAATTTAGAAAATACTGAACATTTTAGATAAAGTTAGAATGCCTGCCAGACATAATTAAAACCATTGAAAAGTAGGATATCTTTGATAAAAGATGGTTGGTAACCAAATAAGGGTGCTCCAATGCTTCCCCTCCCTCTCGTCCAATGCTCCTTAGAGAACAAAGAAAATCATCATTATTGTGGGCTGCAGGATGAAAGGCCAGGGTTAAGCAGTAGACCTAAACTACTTCAGTTTTCCAGGAAAGATTATATTACTAAGGAAATCTTACTTTAATTTTTATTTTTATTCTTTGCGTCTTTGCAAAGCATCTCTTAACCCCTCTTGGACATTGAACATATTGGAGTAATCCTCCATTAACTTTTCTTCTTTTTTTCTTGTTATGTTGCCCTCAGTCTTTTATCTCTTCAGCCAGGGCTCAGTACCATTAGTAACTGGGTTTCCTGACAATCACCTGCCTAAGAATCCATGATGTCTCTAATCACTTAACTTCCATGACTTCTTGGAGTACAGTTTCATAATTAGGCTAACAATGCTGACTATTTAGAGCTAGATAAATGGATATATTATATCCAGATCACTTCAAAATCAAAATAGATCTCTACTGTTTTGCATTATGCTGCAGGTAAAGAATTTCATATTGTAAGGAAGATTTTTTTTCTTCTGGATACAAGTAGAAGAAAATGTATGTCATGTTGAGGCTTCCAGATGCAGTGTTCATAATCTAGGAGAGATTTGTTTCTCAAGTGAGAATTCACACATTCTTAAATGGAATATGGTATCTTTGCTAAAGAACTTAGAACTTGGCACAGTTGCAAAAATAAATTCTTGTGTTAATTTTAAAAAACAGAAACTAAACAAAAAATCTCTGAAACATTAGATATTATTTTACTAAAAGTTAGGAATCTGTTCACAATAAACTCGATTTTGTAACTAGAATTTGCACTAGAAAATATTTAAAGTGAAAGATTTATTTGTAAGTTTTGTTCAGATAAATAAACTAACAAAACGAACTTACATTTGTTCCATTGAAACCGGGAGGTCCTTGTGGACAAACAACTTCACATGAACCACCACCTGGTGATACTGGCCTCACTGCAATTTTCTGTAAATTATAACATATTGTGAATCCACAGTAACTCATATAAAACTAGGTTGGCGCCTATGTTTTTTCTCAGACAGTACGTACAGGCAGTTCATCACAGGGTTCCCTTTCTGGCCGTGTAGGGTCACAACTCAACAGCATCCACTGAAGATCCACCTGTTAATTATTAAGACATTTTAGCATTGTCTCAAAATTTATAAACCTATTCATGTTCATATGTAGAAAAATAATAGTTGGATATATAAAATCTTTCATGTATAAAAGTGAAACAAGAAGCACATTAGTTAATATTAACACATAACAATAAAGAAACATAAATTAGCTAAAAACAGGAAAGCCAACTAACGATCTATAAGCTAAAATAGTGTGCTCTCAATTTAAACTATAAGCACATAATGGTGAAAGCAATTGTAAATTATTATGAACTTACAGGTTAAGGTTTCCTGAAATAATAAATTCACCAAAAGAATACTGAATTAAAACATAATGTATATAGAAAAATGAGAATTCAGATATTGATATTTATGGAAATTGGAATAAAGCTTTGTTTGAAAGTAACAAAGTTAATTGAAGACATTATTTTCTGGTTTAATTTTAATAATTTACTGTATTTATATTAATTGCTAAATTTCCAAACAAGAAGGGCAAAGTTCATTATATTATATTTTTATTTCCTGGAGGAAAGGACTGCTTAAGTTAAAAGGTGACCAAGGGTCTCAATTAAATAAAGGTAAAATAACTTTTCATACTAAAAGACGCAGTTAATAAATGAATAGTGATGAGATGTGGACACTCATTAATATTGTCACAGGTATACAAGTGAAATTTTTTTATAGAGTGTGTTGAAACTTTGATAAGCTGTTGATCCACAATGTTAAGTATTCATAATTAATATTATTACAACAAGAAATGTTTAGGAGTAGGAATGTAAATCATACTCATTTTTTTACCAAAGCTTTCCAGGTTTGCAATTATTGATTAATATAAGGTTTTATAAGGTGCTCTGTGAATCTTTGTCTAACTATAGGTTAGAGACCCTAAGAATAAAAGGCGAAACTGATTACCTTTTGTAGGTACCGAGTGTTATTCCTCTGATGTCGCCAGTGGAGGGGGGGTGAAGCAGCCCCATGTCAGGCAGTAAGTGACAGCAGGAGGGTTAAGCACTAACTATGCAGGTGGAAGTGGCAAAGCAGCATGGTATTCATATTTAGAAAAGTTATTGTTTTACAATATGTCTCTAGAAATTATATCAAGATTGCTAAAAATTTCGTTCTCACTATCCATGCTTCAAGAGAATCTTCTTGTTTGTATAAAATTCACAATATGAAGGGTGAAATTCTCAAAAGTGATAAGATCTGTAGTTTGATATTTGATATTTATTAATAAAATATGCTTTAATTCTGTATTAGTAGGAACTCTGTTACAAGAAGCAAATGCTATCATCACATAGACTAGTATTTGAAGATATTAGGTAGATACATGATAATGACATTGCAACTCATACAAGAATTCCTGGAAATATTTAAATTAAAGCATATTGTTCAAATAGATACCAACAACTTTGAAAACTCAGATCTTTAGATAGAAAACAGAGTGTTTAGCAAAAAAATGCAAACATCTACTCTAAACAAAATTAAAAATACTAAATGGAAACTAGATCAAATGTATATGCAATAGTTTCATAATGGTGCATTGGAAAGATATTTTTGAATGTCAATATTCTCTTCTTAACAATTTAAAAGAAAACTTCTGAATGACCATGCTCCCTTGCCTTGTTTCTTTCTTTTGTTTGCTCTAGAATTTCTCAAGGAATAATTAAAAATTTCAAATGTACTTGTTAAGCATACTTACTAGCTGTGATGCCTGTGAAAGAAACAAAATATACACACTACAGTTAGTCTATCAGTGCACGGTGCTCACACAAACAGAAAGCTGTGATGTTATAAAAAATGCACTAGAATATTGAATTGAATTGAATTTGCCTTATTTTACGTGGCGAGACTCGGGCCATCAGGCCCGCTCTTCCGTCTGACCACGCAAATTTCGCTACGCTCCTTTCACCAACTAGGAGAGAAAGGAGGTATTTCTTGGGCGAGAAACAGGCGATTTGAATTTAGCTCAGAGGCGTCATTTAGGCTTGAGGATCTTTTACATGCAAGTAAATCTACGAACATGGGACAGCCGGCTTTACTTCCCCTCCGAAGGAAGGCGTACGAAGGATTTTTTCGCCCTTAAAAATCCACGGCTTCGATCGGGTTTGAACCCGCCAACTTGGGTACAACAGTCCAGTACGCTAACCGTTACACCATCGCCGCCGATAAATATATATTAACGCCGATAAATATATATAACGAATATTAACTATAGAAGCTTAACACCTTATTTTTAATACACCTATTAATATGAATTTTAATTTACATAAAATAGAAGTAAAAGCTTTGTTATGATTATTATGATACATTCTAAGGTTTGTGCCTACACAATGATTGTTAATACAGAATATCTCACCTTACATTTTTGAAATATTATTCAAAATTTTTTGATTGAGATATTATTTTTATTATTTAGAAGTAAGATTGTTAATAGCTCATTGAACATGTTCTAATTAAATGAAATTTTATATCATATTGCACATATTATACAAGAAATCTTATTTCCATGAAGAGACTGAAGTAATTTTTCTTTAAAAATGTGATGCGTACTCCATAAACCAGACAGATAACCCATAAACATAAACCATAAGACAAATCACAAAGGTAAGAAATCAATGTATTTTAATCTTAGAATTGAGAAGCAAAGTCATAAACTACATGTCAAACAATAAATTTTGAATCTCACACAATTCATATGAAGAAACTACGATTTTACTATTTTATAAATTAGTTTTTACCTCCCTGAGAACTTTGTAAAGTTACTAATGGGTTAGAAACAGAATTTAACTAAGAGGGATTATAAACAATGTGCAAAAACTCACTTCTACATTATTAATAAAAATGAGAGAAATCTTGAAGACATACTTACAGGCACTGTTTCTCTCTTTCCAGTCAACTTTGCAACTGCAATTTCCCCATTTACGTCAATGGGACCTCGTGGTTGGAGCTTCTGTATCGAGGTCTGCTCACAATCCACATATAACACTGCTTCTTCTCGAAACACTCCAAAGTGAATTTTGTGCCAGTTTTTGTCAAACAATTGCTGTTTACAAATTAAAAACATTAAAAAAGAAACAATCATTAGAATGAAAAGTAGAAATACATTTTTCTGACAGAGGACTTCCAAGTGAATAACTAAATAAGATGGCAATTTTCTTTGAAAAATTTGGAGCTGTTTTTAAGAAAATGGCATTTAATCAGTACTGTAAATTCGAAACTTGAACCTCTTTACACATAAAACGATTGAGTTTTCAAAAAACGTTATATGAAGTCATTTAAAGCACTTCCAGTCACAAATGCCACAGTGTTTACCAATTGCTGAAAATATGCTTATTAAAGGTGAGACAGTTATTTTAAAAAAAATATTAGTATAATACAAAAGAATACAGAAAGAAATATTCTACGCCATCTTAAACAGTGTAATTAGTACTATCTGTTGGAATAGTTTGAAGACAAATTTTAGTCATTTTTGAGAAATTGGCGTTTGAGTGTTTCTGAAATTGCGGAATTTTGTGCTTATTTTCACAGAAAACTGTTGAGTTTTCGAGAAACTTTATAGACATTATTTAAAGCACATGCTTTCGTAAATACATTAATGTGAACAAATTGCCGCTAATGTAAATATTAACGACGTGAGAAAGAAGTCAAAAAAATATATTTTTGTAATTTTTGACAAAACAAAAGAATAGAGCAAGATGATGTTTATGTCATCTTATAGAGTGCATTTAGTCTATTCCTACCAAAAGTTTAAAGAAAAAATTTGGAGCCATTTTCGAGGAAATTTTGATTTTGTATTTTTTAAAAATTGCATATATTTCATGCAATATTGCGCGAAAATTACTAAAATTTTCAAAAAAATGTCCATAACATTATTGAAAGAACTAAATGTTGTTTCCAAACGTGACTGACGATAATTTTACTTTCTCTAATACATAGTACGAATCGGTTAAGAGTAAATGTTACAAACTTCTAGGACATGTAATGGTGAACAATTATCGTTGTTTTCTAATGCGTATACATGAGATTCATAACAAAAGTTACAAACTTCTAGGGGACGTAATAGTAAAGTATTACCATGTAATTCCAATGCGTGTTCATGTGTTTCAGAACAAAATAATGTGAAAACTTCTAGGGCAGATAGTAGTGAACGATTATCACTGTTTCCAGAGCGTATACATGTGTTTCAGACTAAATGTTACAAATATCTAGGGCATGAAGTAGTGGACGATTATCATTATTTTTCAATGCATAGACACGTTTTTCATAATAAATGTTACAAACTTCTAGGGCATGTAAAGAGCTCGAAAATGATCCTTTTTTACCAAATAACATTGGGAAATTTCATTGAACGAAATTAGTCAGGGGCATTTGCATCTGGTTGGTAACTCAACATGACCTGCTGTTTCGTTTGATTGACTGATTAGTGATACCGAGCGCGTCAACTGTTAAGGAGATTAGACCCGTAAGTAGTGCATGTTTTGTCGCGGAAGGTGGCGGTGATGGCGAAATCCGGCTCAGACCTACCTCTTGCTTTGCGTCTCCCCAACCAAGAACCCCCCCACAATGGGGCACCACCTCTGCCGGGACAATCTCTAAGCTTCCGACTGGTCTCCCGGTAGTGTGGTAATGTAGTGCATAAGTGTGTGTGTGTGTGTGTGTGTGTGTGTAAGTAAGGAGTGAGGATAGGACACGGAAGAAGAAGGTATTACTCGCGCAACTTTTCTTGAACGATGACCTTGATCCCCCTCCCTTGTGAAATAAACAGTTGAAGACAAAAGCTCGCAGCGGGCACTGATGACAACCTTCCAAGTATTAAAACTTTGTTGGCGCGAAACAGAATCTATTCAAAGCCAGTTGCTTTCATAGTGCAGAATCCCTGTTCAGGTTTATTGTCAATATCAAAAGAAATGGCTGAGTCAGGTCCAGGTTCTTCAAGGGAGTCACCTAAAACTCCCGAAAAAGTTAATCACAAGATGCAGTTTCGACTTTCATTTCACAGACTTTGGCATTACTGAAAATACTCTAGTGGCCGACTCTGTAACTAATATCCCCACTCCACCCGAAATCGTCAATCCATCGTTCAAGAAAAGTTGCCCGAGTAATAAGATGGCGCGCGGTCCGTAGCCTCTTAGGATACTGCTCCGACATTCGCCTGGTGTTGATCGAAGAAAACACGGAAAACTATTGAACCGAGCAGCCTGCCGCTAGAATTCTCCTTACAGTTGCTGGATTTGATCTAGTTAGGTGGCCAGTGTCGAAACTCCAGCCCCCGCGGGGTCTCGAACCTTAGGACCTCTCGATAAGAAGACCAGGAGAGTTGGCTCAGGTCATCAACTGATGTCACTGCAGTCCCTCTGACTGGGAGGTCCTAGGTTCGAGTTCCGACGGTGGCAAGATGTTTGACACTAGCTTGTCAGCTAGGTCTGATTCAGTCACTGTCTGAAGGAAAATTCTAGCGGCCAGCTGCACTGATTGGTAGTTTTTCGTGGTTTCTCCGATCATCACAAGGCGAATGCCGGAGCAGTACCCTAACAAAAGGGTCGCGCGCGTTATTTCCTTTCTCTTCCTTGTCCTATCCTCTCCCCTTACATACACGCACTGCATACCGACACATGCCGCGAAATCGGCCAGGAGCTTAGAGCTTGTCCCAGCTGGGGGTGTGCCCCGCTGGTAGGAGATATCTAGTTAAAGAAAGCCCCGCTAGGCGACGGTTCTCGCCATACCGCCAGGGAAAGATCGCAGCCACCTCCCGAACAATAAACATGCATTACACTTATGGAAATAATAACCCTTTAGTTAGTTGACGGGCCTGTAATCACTCAATCAATCGGAAAGAAGCACCGCAGTGACTTGAAAATCGATCCCTGAGCCACCGAAGGCGGTAACGTTGAAGATTTCGTGCGCCTGCCGAGCAGCAATGCATGATGGGTTGCATACCAATCAGGGGCGAATGACGCAATGTGTAATGGATACAGTAAAGTAATTTACGTCATACGGACGGAAAATGTTACATTAGGAGTAAGATGTTTCCAGCCGAGGTCCTTAACGTCGCATCTATTCTAACGAGTAATTTCTAATTTCTAACGAGTAATGTAACATTTCCGCGACGAGTAATGTAACATAACGAGTAACGTGAGTAACAAGTTTTATTTCATAATATGTCGCATTTTCTTACTTTTATGTTAACTTCATGTTGCAATATTTCATGACGCACTAGTGCCAATAAACAATTGACCACGGCGCCAAAGCCACCTAGAATCTTAATGTCTGTGAAAGAATTGCAAATGCTCTGAACATTTTAAAATGGAATTGAAAATAAAGAGATGCTTCAGAAACTAATAATCCAATGAAGCAACTGAGCAATTAATAACCCAGAAGTCGGAAGAAAGGATAAAAATACGAAAAAAAACATTGTTCATGGAAAAATACAAACAATATTAGCATAGTTCATAAGAATGTTATGTCTCACTTCACAGATCTGGTAAGTAGTTCCTATTACAGCTACAGGACTTTACAACGTTTTTTGTAACTAATAATTTACAGCCGAAGTACGTTTTCTAATAGTGAAAATATTCCATTATTAAATCCTTTCTAAGTTTTGTAAATTGATAGTGTTTCTTAAGAAAAAGTCAGTTTGATGTTAAGCAACACATTAGAAAACATAGAGACGAAGTCAAACCTGAGTATACAATGAATATGATAATTCAATATTTAGGTTATTTTGTAAATATTATATATTTGTATTTAAGAATTACAAATATATAGGTAATTAGAGAAAATATGGAATTTAGCGTTACGATGTCGAGTTCGACAGACCACAACAATTAATATTGCTGTAAAATGTGTCGATCAAAGAGACAAAAAAGTGTTACTTACCGGAGCGTGAAAGTTCACAGTTTGTAACCTGCCTTCAAAAGTGGTAATGGCAAACTCCACCATCTCCCTCCTTGGATTCATCGTGACCAGAAACTGCGGTAGTCCTTGGATATCTGATATCCGGATCACATGCCACGGCGACTTTGCCATCTTGCGCGTACGAAACGTTGTGATGAGCGAGAATTGTTCGGGCATTCCTAGCGGAAAGATATCCCTGAAACACAAGGAAACAATAGAAAACAGCGTAAATGTAAGAACTAGCGGTTCTCCAGACATGGCACAGACTTTCTCGTATTAGCTTTCATGATTTCCTTTCCCCTTCACACTGCCTAGTTGGTACTAACCTGGTGGGGATGACGAGGTGCGCGTCGCGATCCAGGCGGTAGGCCGTCTGCATGCGGTTGGAGCCGCGCACGCGCGTCAGCCCGGGGTACGTGGTCTCGGGCAAGTCGAGGCGGAACTTGCGGATGAAGTCGAAGGCCTGCAGGTCGTCCTCGCCCGGCTGGTAGTCGGCGCAGGGCCCGCGCGCCGCCGCCTCCTCCTCGTCGTACGCGTCCAGCTCTGCAACAGCGGCCCCCTCACTCTATTTGTTTTGCCTCTCCCTGTCCCTTACATTATGATTCCTTTTGTTTGTCGACATGTGCTTCTCTCTTCTCTCTCTCCGTCTCCCACTATATCTTCCTCCCTCTATCTCTTCCTATCTCTTTCTTGTCTTCACGTCTCTCCCTATTTCCTCTCTCTTCCCTCGACTTTTTTTTTCTCTGACTATCCCCGTCTGTATCTCTCCCCGTATTTCTCTCTTCCCGCCTTTCTCTTTTTTGCCTCTCTCTTGCATTAGGTCTCCTTCGCTCTCTGTAAGTCTCTCTGTAACAAATTTTCGCCTCCCTCTATCTCTTCCCGCCTCTCTCTAACTCTTCCCGCCTCTCTCTATCTCTTCCCGCCTCTCTCTATTTCTTCCCGCCTCTCTCTATCTCTTCCCGCCTCTCTCTATCTCCTCCCGCCTCTCTCTATCTCTTCCCGCCTCTCTCTATCTCTTCCCGCCTCTCTCTATCTCTTCCCGCCTCTCTCTATCTCTTGCCTTCTCTGCTTTTCCCCGTCTGTTTCCCTTCTCTTTCTTTCTCCCGCGACTGTCCAACCCTCTCTCTCTCTTCTAGCCTGTCTCTCTGAGTCAGTGAAGGAACTAGGTGTAGTATACCACTATACCAATATCAGGAAGATTGCACTTTACGGTAAAATTAGTGACACCTAAAAATATATTAATTAGCAGCAAGTTCTATGCTTGAATGAATTATCCACTCTCTCATTCACTCATACAGTTCGTCAACAAACAAGCAATTATCTGTTTACTTGTTCTAACATAGAATTAGCATCTGTATAGCAGAATGCATCACCAACAAAAGCAGCAGCAGAAGCAACAGCAGCAAAAGCAGCAACAACAGAAGCAAGAGGAATAATGCTATTCTGGATGTATGCTCTTAACTTCGAACCGGACGGAACGAGATTTGTAGCCTTACTCCAAAACGCCGTTGATCTTGCAGAATGACTTGATACTCTCACGTAGATTTACAATACCGATTTATTCAGTATTATCGAGATATTTCTTGGAACAATTCACAACACTTCCTTAAAAATATTTGAAGTAATACTTAAATATGACAGTTAGCTTTTTGCTTTTCGTGATAGTCACAAAGCTATTTTAAAAGCCTTCTGTTCTTGAGAAAGAGTTTTTAAGCATGCAAGATAAATGACGCGCTTACAAAACCTCCTCAGAGTCCCCTTTGCGGCGGAGATGGTGTAATGGTTAGCGTATCGGACTGTTATACCCAAGCTGGCGGGTTCAAACCCGATCGACGCCGTGGATATTTAAAGGCGAAAACATCGTTCGTACCTTCCTTTGGAGGGGAAGTAAAGCCGCCTGTCCCATGTTAGTAGGTTTACTTGCATGTAAAAGATCCTCAAGCCTAAATGACGCCTCTGAGCTAAATTCAAATCGCCTCTTTCTCGTCCAAGAAATACCCCCTTTCTCTACTAGTAGGTGAAAGGAGCGTAGTGAAATTTGAGTGGTCAGACGGAAGAGAAGACCTCATGGCCTGAGAGTCGCCACGTAAAATAAGGCATTAATTCAAATCAATAAAATCAATTTTAATGTCCGAGTGTCCGCCCCCCCTGTCGGTACACGAGCGCTGCGATGGAGTAACGGTTAGCGTATCAGACTGTTATACCCAAACTGACGGGTTCAAACCCGATCGACGCCGTGGATATTTAAGGGCGAAAAAATCGTTCGTACGGAGTCTTCCTTCGGAGAGGAAGTAAAGCCGGCTGGCCCATGTTAGTAGATTTACTTGCATGTAAAAGATCCTCATGGCCTGAGGATCTAGCCTAAATGACGCCTCTGAGCTAAATTCAAAAATTGCCTGCCTCATCGCCCAGTAAATACCCCCTTTCTCCGCTAGTTGGTGAAAGGTGCGTTGCGAAATTTGCGTCGTCAGATGAAGAGCGGGCCTCATGGCCCGAGTCTCGCCACATAAAATAAGGCATTTATTCAATTCAATAAAATCAATTTTAGTGTCAAAGTGTGAATCAACTCAACTCAACTCAACTCAATTCAATTCAATTCCCCTCCACTTGCGCGCCCTTCGCCTAGGGGCCCGGCCGCGCCGGCGGCGCAGCGCTGGAGGTCGCCGAGAGGCTCCTTTTATTAGAGGGAAACGGCGCGCGCAAACGTCGTGTGGGCGGCTGGAATGTGGCCATGATTCACGAAAGATGCAGAAAATAAACAAAATGAGAGGAGACGCATGGCAGGCCTTGGCATTTATTATGCATTTTCTTTCTTTCTCTCTTTTTTTTTTGTTTTGCCAAATAAACTGGCAACTGCACCCAGCGAGTGCAGAAGAGCAAGCTGTGGGGATTGGCGGTAGTGTACTGAAATGTCGCGATACTTTATTCGAAACAAAATTTGATATTGAGATGGTTTTACGTTTTCTATCAATTAAAATATAACGATTCTACTTTATGGAGGGGAAAGTAAAGTATTCATTCAATATTTATTCAGGGTTGATGATTCAAGATTATGCACCATAGAATGGAAGAACTTATTGAAAATATGTTAAATTAAAACAATTTGAAATTCAAAGTAAAAGATAACATTTATTCATAATCAAAAGCTAACTTACACAATACTTTTTATACAAAAATAAAAAAACGTCGAGCCAAATTCACAATACTAATGAGACATAGGTTAATGGTTACTTCACGTTTGAAATCAACATGAGTTCTTCATTGAAGTCCATTCAGATGTTTCACTGTTTTAAAGTATGATAAATCCAGAATTTCCTGGTATAACTCTCCCAAATATTTAAGTCCAATTTCTCACAGTAGTATTATCAATTAACGCTCCATTCAATTACGCAACTCCGTTTAAAGCGTTCCATTTCATCTCTTCACCCAAAAGCTAGGGGCCAACCTTTCATCCTCACTAAAGAATATTCAATTCTTTTCTACCTGTTGATTTTTTGCGTATTTTCTCAGATCGGCTGTCAACATGGCATATAACTTTGTCAACATGTGATTTCCTATTGTAGTTGGCCGTGTTTATACTTGTATTTATGTTTTGGAGTCAATTATGGACGAATAAAAATAACACAAAAATTACGACTCAATAAAATGGGGATGCCAATGAGAGAACAATTTTATTAACAAGATATATTATTAAATACCAAAAAAGCACATTTTGAGCATTCATTGACATCTAAAGTTGGTTTTAAAACTACATAAATGTTTAGCATTTTAGTGTAATTACATTATTATATTGTTAAAATTGTTATAATTCATATAACTTTCCTATAAACGACCATTCACTTCATTTAAGAGGAAATATGTATTCTGTGATTCAATACAGTAGAAACCAAAAGAGGGACGAGAAGGAAGAATACGTTTGACGTGAGGACTATAACAATAGGACTATAAAAATGTTTTATATTCATTAAACTATTTTAGGAGTTATTAAACCTTTTGGAATGCAGCCCACTCTTGCGATGTGGAACACAACATTGTAATCGAAAGTTATTTTAATACAGTTTTAGTACATTTGTGCAGTATTTAGAAGTTCAACGTTAATAAATAATAATCATAAAATATTTAATACGCTTTGCCTATATAGTTTGCAAATGTTTTTCATTTAAAAATATTTTCGCGGTACACCCACATAAATTCGCAACACGACTTTTGAGAACCAGCGAATTTTCGAAGCAGAAACTATTGCAACCACACCACAATATCATTTCTCAACCAGAACTGACAGCGATATCGCAATTATTGAAAATAAAAATTGCAAGAACCGGAGTATTAAAATCAGATTAGAGATATATGCGATCGGTTCTCAGTGGAATTTGTTCTCCAATCTAAAACAGTGCCATCACGGAATAACATTGCGCTGTGGACGTGCATCAGCCCTTATCTATGCAAAGACCTCGCCTATTCGCCGCCCATTCGCAACCCCGTCCCCGTTCACTTCGCTGTGACCACTGCTAATCCCGGCACCCAGGCCAGTCCGCCCCGCCCCAGTCCTCACTCAGCCCGCCCCGTCCTCGCCTGGCCTATCCTGACCACCGCTCGGCCAACTCGATTCTAAACCTGGTCCGTCCCATCTCCCTCCAGACCTTGCTCGGCCCACCCCGAACCCCCGATCGGTCCGGCCCAACACATCCCCTTCCGGCCCCTCCTACCCCGCACGGACAACCCCGCCTGCACCGCTCCACCCAAATCCTCACTCGGCCCATCCCAACTCTCGACGTAACCTCTGCCTGGCCCACCCCGTACCAAGCCCGGTTCGACCCGGCCCGACCAGCCCGCCCGGCTCATCTTAGGGCCCCTTCCCACGGCGCGACGGCGGTGCGCTTCCGAGCA